AACCAGAATGCTTTGAAATGTTGCAGATGTTTTAAGGCTATAAAGAGCATCATAAATCTTTAGTCAAAAAATATTTGCTTATCCCCTCCAAAAACTTCAGCTCAAAAGTTTGTGGAATAAATCATATCTAAAATGTACAAAATATGATGAGCCTGTACTTGTGATCTATCACTCCATTCATATTTTTTGGATTTGCATATACAGGGTGACTCAAAAAAATTAATGAATGCGTAAATATATTTTATTGATTTAATCAGGAACTACAAAACCGAATGCTCTGAAATCTTGCAGATGTTTTAAGGTCATAAAGAGCATAATAAATGTTTGGTCAAAATATATTTGCTTATCCCCTCCAAAAACTTGATGACGTCAGCTCGAAAGTTTGCCGAATAAATCATATCTAAAATGTACAAAATATGATGAGCCTGTACTTGTCATTTATCACTCCATTCATATTTTTTGGATTTGCATATACAGAGTGACTCAAAAAAATTAATGAATGCGTAAATATATTTTATTGATTTAATCAGGAACTACAAAACGGAATGCTCTGACATCTTGCAGATGTTTTAAGGTTATAAAGAGTATAATAAATGTTTAGTCAAAATATATTTGCTTATCCCCTCCAAAAACTTGATGACGTCAGCTCGAAAATTTGCCGAATAAATCATATCTAAAATGTACAAAATATGATCAGTCTGTACTTGTGATCTATCACTCCATTCATATTTTTTGGATTTGCATATACAGGGTGATTCAAGAAAATAAATGAAAGCGTAAATTTATTTTACTGATTTACTCAGGAACTACAAAACCGAATGCTTCGAAATCTTGAAGATATTTTAAAATTATCATAAGCATGGTAAATTTTTGATCAAAACGTATTTGGTCGTCCCCCCTAAAAAATTTATGATGTCACCACAAAATTTTGCTGAAAAAATCCTGTCTAAAATGTACAAAATATGGTGAGTCTCTTCTTGTGATTTATCATTCCATTCAAATTTTTTCGATTTGCATATACAGGGTGACTCAAAAAAATTAATGAATGCGTAAATTTATTTTATTGATTTAATCAGGAACTACAAAACCGAATGCTTTGAAATCTTGCAGATGTTTTAAGGTTATAAAGAGCATAATAAATTTTTAGTCAAAATATATTTGGTTATCTTCTACAAAAAACTGATGACGTCAGCTCAAAAGTTTGCCGAATAAATCGTATCTAAAATGTACAAAATATGATGAGTCTGTACTTGTGATTTATCATCCCATTCATATTTTTGGATTTGCATATGCAGGGTGACTCAAAAAAATTAATGAAGGCGTGAATTTATTTTATCGATTTAATCAGGAATTACAAAACCGAATGCTTTGAAATCTTGGGAATATTTTAAAGTTATTATAAGCATGGTAAACTTTTGTTCAAAATGTATTTGTTCATCCCTCCTAAAAAAATTGATGACGTCACCCTTAAATTTTGCTGAATAAATCCTATCTAAAATGCAAAAAATATGATGAGTTTGTACTTGTGATTTATCATTCCATTCATATTTTTTAGATTTTCTTAAGAGGTGGTTCAAAAAAATTAATGAAGTCAATTTATTTTATTGATTAAATTAAAGGCAACACTTATTATTAGTATTACACCCCAACCAACCCAATTTGGTAGACACAAAATTTGTTAAAGGAAAAACTCGGTTGAAACATAAGGGTAGCACGCTTATTTACATCGACTTTAACATTACAGAACTGCATTTGTTTTATGCGTTCACTTGGTTCCGCGAATGTGAAATAGACATGTTTGTAATCAACCAATTGTGAATTTCACCGTCAAGAATTAAAATAAAACCCAATGTTTTATATAATAAGCGGAAGTCGAAGCAATAAAACCGATGGTCGTTTTGTTTACAGTTTCTCTGTTTGACTCTCACGTATGCTGTTACGCCTGTCATCTTAAATTAAGAATGTTTATACATACACGATTTTCAGTTGCCTCTGATACGTAGGTATACGTGAGTAAATTGTTTCGTTATTTTATTGATTATTACAAATCAATATTCAAAACGACCCAATTCATTTTCCCGAAAATTTGAGAATATAATAATTTTATTCTTAGTATTACACTACTACTATCCCAACTGATATACGTGTCCTTGCAAAAATGTTGATGACGTCATCGCAATTTTTTTTTAAATTCCCACTACAAGAATGTAATCAGAAAAAAACACAATAGGCATGCAGTCGTCAAGTTTCCGACAGCGAGGGAAGTACTGTCTAAACTCTTTAGACCAATTTTTTGAATTTGCATATACCGGGTGACTCAAAAAAAATAATGAATGCGTAAATTTATTTTATTGATTTACACAGGAACTACAACACCGAATGCTTAGAAATCTACTGCGAAAAAAAAAATAATAGGCATGCAGTCGTCACGTTTCCGACAGCGAGGGAAGTACTGTCTAAACTCTTTAGACCAATTTTTTCTTGATAAAATTGGTTATTTCTATCCTCTTTCAACTCGTAGTTTGCTAATCACAAAATTTTATTAAACTATCATTTCAATATTGTAGGTATTTTATACAATCTAATAATTTTGTTGATAACATCTACTCCGTGTTTTATTATGTTATATCGGTACACTATATCGATCATTCTTTTGAATATTCTTCTACCGACAGTACTGATTAACGTTATATATAGATATTCAACGTTATATATAAATCTTAAACTGTAGGTACCACAGTAATAAATAACTCTTATTTAAAAAGTGTGATTAGGAAAAGGGAGGTAGAGATGGCAGTACTTTTCAAACTTCAATACTTTCTGCATGTGTTTTTAATTCCTTTAACACGATTTTTGGTTAAGAATAATTGTAACGTGGACATTACTCAGTGAGGCAAAAATATTGATTAAATACAAATCAATTTGATATTAACATAATACTTAGTAGGTATATAAAATTCTAAAAGCATAGTCAGCTCTAATTCCATTTTAATTCACTGCCAGTTAAAGTGCTGAAAATTCGTTGAGGAAAGAACTTATGTCATGAAATCCATACACTCACACGAATCTTACTAAAAATTATTCTACTTAGAAGTAGTGGAAGGATACTGTATAAAAGGTAGCCACATTATGTTAAATATTTATTATTACATAATTAGTAGTGACTTTTGGGAGACTGATTATTTTATATATACAGTGTATCTCCGGACTGAGTTCAGAAGAGGAAAAAAAACTTTATTTTCTATTTTACAAAAAAATGACAAAGGAATAATATTTTTTGCTTAATTCAAAATAAATAAATCTACAATTAAAACTTTAATAATATCAAATTGTGTTCTTAAAATCTAAAAAACCAAAAGTAACAAAGAACTTTCTTATTTTTAATTTTACAAAAAAAAATGTGAAAGGAATAAAAATTGTTCCTTAAATTAACCCAATTTCTATTATTCTACTAACCCACCACCCCTTTCAGCTAACAACTATACATAACTAAATTTTAACTACACAATTTTTGAAGGAGCCGTCATTTTGCAATTAAGGAGGAAATCTTGTTGTAAACACATTTAAACAATATTTTGTATTAAAAACAAATTTAAAAGAATCGTGTCCTTTATAGCATGTGTATAAAGTCTTCATTACTAGACAACAAATTAATTAAACAATTGCATATGATGTAGTTTAAGATATCTAGATATTTTCCTAAATGGGACACCCGATAGATTTTTGTGATTTTATTGCATACTTTAATTTATTTAATAGTAACAGTATATTCTACATCTTTATGACTTTGGAAATACTTACATAATACTATAAAAAAAATATGCAGAATGAAACAATAGTTTACGTTGTCGTATTAACATATACCTACAGTTTTTTTTTTTAAGATTTATAGTGAATTTTGTTATTTTGTTTTCTTGCCTGTTTGACATCTGAACTCTAAGAATTTCTAGAAATAATCAATTCCAGATTTCCATAAATTAAAATAAAACGTCATTAAATGTTGTCACAACTAACAAGTATAAGTGATAATTTTGTGTTTTAATTACAATCTTTAGGTGTAGAAAATATAGAAAGAAAAGTAAAGAAACAAAGTACAAAGTAGCGATAGTGAAAAACATCGATTTCTTTGAAAAAACAAAATTGAAGCCATTAAAACTCTGCAAATTTTCCCTCTTCATTAAAACACAACATAGTATAAACATCCTAAAGTGTACATCAATTTTTTTAATGCAAATCTTTTGTTTTCGAAAGCATTAATACAAGTACTTAATAGCTTATTTATTCATTTATTTGTGTTGTGTCTTCAGTAGTTGATTTTATATCCTATTTGGCTGTCCCTATATTACGTATTTTAAAAAATATACATATGTATATGAAAGTAACTTTACGTGTAGGTATTATTTCTTTCACAAATCCCATGCTGAAGGTATTAAACAATAAAAAGAAAAAGACGTTAGTGAGGTGGATAGTATAAAATGAATGAACTCGTGTGATTATGAAAAAACATCTGTGTCTTAATCCTAATTCTATATTAGAATTCACAGTCAGTATATATTCAACTGATGAAAGTTTTATTTGTACATGAAGAATCTATTGAAAACAGTAATAGCATAATAGTTATTTACGTGATTTCTGGTAGAAATTTGTGCTTACAAAATTTATAAGTAACAAACTGTCACACATTAAATTAATGGATCAATTTAAATTGTGTAAATCTATTATTTAACAATAATATTCAAGTTATACACACATTTCAATTGTTTTTGTAAAATAAAAATCCAGACAAATCAATAACAACTTCAGACAATTTTTTTGCAAGTGAACATTTCAGGTAAACAGCCAATAAAAGCATTATTTCATTAAACAGATACGTCTGCGCGAGCGTCTCGACGCCTTTTAGGCGTCCCTATAGGACCAATGAAAATAAATCGGGGTGGAGCATCATTTAATTTCTATAACAACATGCAATTCAAAATCGCAGTACGAAGTTAACGGTGTTAAAGTAAATAAAGATCAAATGGCAGGACCGTATTTATCACCTTTACCGGGTGATTTACTCACAGAATATATGTTTGGCAGACGACGACAAAGGCGGAATCGCACCACATTCAGTCCGCAACAATTACAAGAACTCGAAGCACTTTTTCAAAAGACGCATTACCCAGATGTTTTCCTCAGGGAAGAAGTGGCGCTTAGAATAAGTTTGTCGGAAGCACGTGTACAGGTAAGTTTCTTGTTGGTTGTTAAATTTGTATCAAGTTTATATGCATGAATAGCAAAGTACGACAAGTCGTGAACAAATAGTAAAAATACTACTTCGGTAAGTTGTGTAATCTATTTACATTTACATATTATAATTTAGAAATTTAAGGTGCAAAACTTTGCTTGTATTTTTTTTTTTTTTTTAATTATAGTTTATATCAAGTTTGCAGAGCCTATAAGTCACCAAAAAAATGAAGAACATAATCAATTTTTTTAGAAAATCGAATAGCCGTGGTCAGTATATTGACTACTGAACTTTTATGTAAGAACAAAGTGTCAAAAATCTGATCATATCTGGCGGACAACACATATTTTTAAAGAGGAAATGGTTCAAAAATAACGTAAAAAATTACATAAACTTTAAAAGTTATTTGTGAAATAGAATAAAACATTTTTGGCATGATATTGTTGTTTCAGGTATACATTTTTTTCATTATCTCCTTTCGCAAAGTGAACCTTAATATTGTAGAGTTTTTAAATTTATTGTAGTTTTGGGATTATAAAAATCTAATTTTATGTAAAATAATCTTTATATCAGAGTTCTAAAAAATCCTATGATTCTCTTGTAACTGGTATCTACAAACTTTTGGGCAATAAAATCATTGTTGCTATTATTATTAAAATGGGCCTAAAACTAGCATTAATTTATCTTTGATTTTTTTAACGTCTTTTTTCTTTTCCATGTAGAATGAGGTAGGTATGTACAGTATGTAAGAGCAATAAAAAACACGATCAAATACAGCCATGGATTTTTGAAAATTTGTCTTTGGCAGTTTCGTCTTGGCGTATTATGGTTAATTTGAAAGTTTCATGTTGAAACGATTGTTGCAACGATCATAGAAAAAAAAGTCCATGAGTGTCTTTGATTGCATTTTCGACTGATTTCTCGGTATTTTAAGTGTGTTGGGCAGAATATTTTAAATTTTTTAAGATAGTACATACAATAAGTGATCTGTAATTCGTTTGGTAAAATACCTCAAAACATTTGTTGATGTTGACAGTTATTTAAGAGACAAAAGTTTGAAATTTGAAATGCGTAATTCACTAAATTTTTTTAAATTATTGTATTACTAGCATTATATTTGAGTTAGTTTCTCTACAAATGATATCAACTTTTTTTCCAAACGGAAAAGATTGTGAGGTTTAAGTGTTTCATACCTACCGTATGAGCAACAAAATTTTACAGGGGAAACTGTACTCAGCGCACGTCGGGCATGATATGGATTCTTAGATTGTTTCATTATTTAAGTTCACCACTTATTTTGACAAAAGAAGTTTTCATTTTTGCAGAAAATTTTTACTTACCTCCTTGAAAAATATGCAGAAAGATAAACATAATTTCTAACTTATTTATGCAGGTGATTAAATCTGCAAACCATCGTTTTTCTCCATTTCAGGAAAAGAACTATTCTATATTTTGTAATTATTTCAAAGCCATCTGTATCAAAGATTTCGTTTTAATTTTTTTTTTTTACATTTTTACATTTACACAAAAACAAGTCATTAAGAGCCGTTTTACAAAAAGCGAATTAAATATTTAATTCTCGATAATTTAGCAGAGGAATAAAATGTAGAATATGAGCCCGTGATTAGTTAAAATATACACCTTGCCTAGCAACGGACCTCAATTAAAAGTTAATCGCAAATTAATTTTAATTCGCTTTCTATAAACCGGGTCTAGATTTTATAAACTACTTGTTTCTATTTATAGATACAAAGTAGAGACGAAACAAAACGAAATATATTGTTAGATGTTAAATTTCAAAGACTAAAAAGAAATTTATCAAATGTTGCCCTATAGGGTTACATCAAACAAAAAACATGAAAAGAATAACTGATCACCCAAATTAATTACCCCATGTAAATAGGTTGGGTGCTTTAATTCTTTCCACAACAAAAAGGTAAGACGCATGAATGAAACAAAAAACAATATGAAGTATCAATAATTTACAACAATAGAACTGAAAGATGTTTTGGATTACTACAAACCTCTCTTACAAAGATTTATATATGTTCTGACACTTCTAACGCTCTGTTAAATCATATTTGCAAGATCCATAAAGAATTATCACATTGGCATTGCAAAAAGAACGTAAACAAGATTTGAAAAGTTGTATTATTGGCCCATTTCAACAAAAAAGCGAAAGGAAGTCGAATCTTCTGAAACATATGGAATATTTAATGTTAAAATGTAAGTTATATTTTCAACAAGAACATTGTCACAACTACTTTTCGAAAAATAATATAAATACCACCGAAAAATGCTCCAACACAAATAGACAGATAGACGGATGTTTATTTGTGTTTATGCATTATATTATTTCTACGCATCAAATTTATCAATTTACAATAAGTTCTTGAAACTTTAACTTAAAAAAATTATCAGGCTCATGTTTAATAAAAAATGTTTTAAATTTCCTTCTAAAAACAAAAACAAATAAGTAGGTCACGTATGGTATAGCACAAAAATTAAAAAAAAAATCAGACTCCAATAATTGAGACTAAATCTACCTGTGTACACGCTGGAACTCAATATCTAAATTATTTTTTCCACTTCCCAATAATAAAATCCTCATTTTATAGAATATATTTTATTATTACAACAATATAATTTAGTCGAAAAGATGAATAAAATGTTTACAGCAACTTTAATAAAATGCTCATGTTATGTTATATACTATACCTCATTATTAAAACAATAGTCTAATCGAAAGGATGAATAAAATGTTTACAGCAACTTTTGAAATTTTCGCTTCACGTAAATCCTTCAATTTGCCGGTTTAAAGTAAAGTTAAAAACAAAGTATACCACAAAATGTTCTGAACGACGCTACGGTTGCATTACCTACCCAACTTATTCTCAGAAAAATTTAAATTAGTTTACGAAAAGGAGTAGATTATTTTATTTTTTTTTTAGTCCTCGTGGATAAAATTCGTCTTTATTTACTTATACCATAAATAGTTATTTTAAGTGAATGGCAATATTTCTATGTAATTCATGTAGATCACAATTAGTTCTTACATAATTTAAGCAAACAAAAATATACCTAAGTAATAACAATTTTGAAATCTACAAAAACATCTTTACAATCGTCTCTAAAATTCAATCCTGCAAGTATGCAAACAGCCTTCTTTTTAAACATAAAAGACATATGCGGCCCAAGATGGAAACAGAAGTTCCGATTCAAACGTTTTTTTAAATAACTCTGGAATTGCTATTACTGTTGGAAAAAAATTCATTCGTTATATTCCATATTTTTAAAAAAGATTTACAAAATAAATTACTAGTGCGGGAATACCCAACTTTACCGTTTTTAGTGTAGGAAAATGAATCCTTCCCGCACGCCGTTGGAATAAATACTTACGGGTATGGTGCAAAACATTTCCTGACTGCATACGTGACCATACTATTTTGTTCGTTGTTCTTGTTTGAACCCAAAAACGGCAAAATAATGCAGTGAATTGAAAAGTAACTATTTGTCCTTATTAAAAAAAAGGAGATGACAAAAACAATAAAAAAATACCGTTGTCGTGGAGAAATTAAATTACAAATTAAATCTTGCTCCTACAATACAACAATTTTGTGTACTCCGCTCGCAAAACGTCTTTGACGCCATCGAAATATTTTATATTCTCGTGCACCGAAGTATAGTAAAGCGTACACGGTGATTTCGAAATGTGTACAATAAAAAATGGGGAATAGCCCATAATAAGCTTTATTGCACTGTATAAACTTCACGTTCCTAAGTGGTAACACAATCTTGAAAAAATTATTTGAAATTAACTATAAATTGTTAGACACGCCACTGGTAGTGTTCCTTAACCTATCACAACTACTATTCAATGAATGGCACAGAACGACTAAGACCAAGAACCAAAAAAGCGGCGCACTGATAAGCAACGTGCCGGTCATGTATCAGTTGGTTGCCGCCGTGTGTTCGGTTAACGTCTTTGAAATGATTAATGGGAGTAAGTGTTATTAGAGGTCAAGAACTGTATTGCTGCTGTATAACGTTAGAAAATGTATTTTACTATACCCTTTCGTACGCAAGTTGTAAAATAACCACTTCATTGTTTACAGCTTGGTATCATAAATCTTGCAATCAAACTATATTTATAGATGAATACAGACCATGTTCGTGATAACGTCAAGTTTTCGGTTTTTAAGGTATGGTTTCAAAATCGAAGAGCAAAATGGAGGAAACAAGCTCGCTTACAACTACTTCAAGATGCTTGGCGAATGCGCTGCCTTGGCATTAGCCCTTCTCCGTTAATATTACCAGGTAAATCGTTTAATAATTTTAATTTTCCTTCCCAGCCAGAAATAAAATATAATGATTTTGAAGAACATTATATTTCCTGTGTTATCGGCTTATAGAATGCCAAATTTTGGTTATCTCATTTCTGTGTAAGAACAGTGGCGGAAATTTAAAGTCGGACTTCAAGTTGACACTTTAATGACTATTTCACCAATTTTGGTCATTGTCTATGTTATTTATTAATGTTTTACTATTTCCACAGTGATTTAGAATTCTCTATATGAAACAATAAAGTAATATTTGCAGTCGACGAAAACCCCGAGTTAAAATTTCCACCCTGTACATCGGTTACGAAAAGTGTCAAATAAGATACGAGTATGTTATAATAATTTTGCCGAATCTGGTTCCATTTTTTTTTTTTTGTAATTTTCTTTTCATACCTTTTTACTTGCCCAGCTTCTTAATTTTCTTTCATGTGGCAGACTTAAAAATCAATAGTGTGTCCCTAATTTGTTGTTGTGCCAAAGTTACATACACGTACGTATCCTTTTCCGTTAATAAATTAATATCAAGAAACGTTCATTAAATTTTTTCTGTTTGACTGACAGATGCTTTTATCCCATTTTCTCACACATTTTAATCAAAATTTTAGATAATGAATGACTCAACGAAAGGAAAAGGATACGACAACATTTTTGGCAAACTAAAGGAACAGAAATCAGACATTTTCGGCCGATGGCATTAACAAGTTGATTTATATTTTATTTGAATGACTGATTTGGAAATTTTTAGTGTCTGTTTTGTTTATAGTTTGTTATTTATAAATTCTCTCAGTTTTGAAGAGATTTTAGGTTGTTTAAAATGTACAATTTTTAAAACGGGTATGCAAATATTGTTTATTAAAAATAAAATAAAAATAAATGTAACAATAACACACATTTCAAATATATACACACTCCTGCAGGGATGGATTAACAATTCACCTAATTTTTTTAAATTCACCTAAACAGATTGTCAGTTAACAGATTTCTTAGAAATCTTGATAAGATATAATATACCTACAACGATTAATTACTGAATAAACAAAGTTTTCGTCAGAACGAGAACTAAAAGTTATTTACTCGTTCTTTTATCAGCTGTCTCAGAAACGGCTAACATAATTTTCCTGAAATACTGGAAAAAAATTACTTCGGTTTTTAAAAAGCACACGATAGTACGTGGATTGTGGACCTAACAATGAAAGTGAAATTATAACGTCTAAATACCGATGTATATAAAGTGTGCTTGCTGAGGTGCTAACTTTCTTCCATGTGGGACAAATCAGCCATCTTTCCGTCTTCCAGTTATCCATATTTTTCAGAAATATGACTAAAACAGTCATAATCTAAATTTCAGACGATTTACTTAACATAGTTTGACATGACGTCATCCAATTTCTGGTGGGAATGAAAATGCAAGTTAAGTTTACTATTTTCGATTTATTTATAAAATTACAAACTGTACGTTAGCTAATAAAGTTTTACATGTTATGACGTATTTACACTATAACTAACGTCCTACCTTATAGAACTTCAGAGTAATACAGTAAAAAGGAGATATATAAAATGTTCAAAAAAAAGTATCATTTTCTTTCAAGAAAATTTTGAAATAAGATTGTAAATCCCATAAAATAGCGCAACTGTTTTCAAATTTAATTTACAATCTTAAATATTTAATATTTTAATGTAGGTCGACCAACTGCTCCATTACCAGGAGATCCCCCACTGCAAGAAAAAATACAAGATACTTATCCAATAATACCACCGGGTATTCCTGCTCCGTGTCCATGCTCACCTGGAACTGAAAGCACCAGCCCTGCAAGTCTTCGGAGTTCCAGTCCAAGTCCACTATCTCCGGGCGGTCCAGATGATTTGTCGGTATGCAAGAATCCTGCATCGCGTATAGAGCATCCATCAAACACAAGTAGTGGACTATTAAACAGCAATTAAGTTATCATTTTTTTTTTTTCGTGAAATGTGACAAATGTATAGTTAGAAAAATATCTTCTGTTACAGGTAGTTATTAAAAAACTAGCTAGCAACAATATTGAACTGTAGACTGCAACTTGTTCTGAGTGAATACTCTAGTTCTTTTTAATAACTCGAGTAGTACCTAATTATTGTTATTGCCATAACTGCTGTATGTACATCAATAAAAGTTCTATAAAACACTCTACAAATTTATTGAGTAATACTAGTTGGTAATAAAGTCGCAAACAAACCTTAGTGACAAAGAAACGGCATTTGTGCCAAATTTTCAGGAAATTCGTATATCATAACCATAACTTATACACAGATGTGTGTATATGTGATAGAAAGTAATTTTGGTCAGTAAAAAAAATTTAACACTCGCTGGTAGTCAAATTTACAAAAATTTACCATATTATAATTAGCATTATTTACTTATTTTTTGCCACATAATTCTATATTAAAATTATGCAGTGATATACTGAATCACCGTGTATACACACATTTAATACATATTCTGTGTTCTACACGTAGAGGTTCGAATAATTCTTATTCTACCCTCATCGGTTCTATCTAACATTTGAAATAAAATATTTTTCGATCTTGGTTGTGCAAACCTTTTCCTTTCAGAGTGTTTATCTTAGATTTTAGTTCATATACCCACTACTTCTTGCTGTAAACTATTTCTAAAGATATTTGGAAACAAAGTTAAATAATTTTATTGCACTCTCAGCGGGATATAAATACCCCAAGTCAAAATTCTGCGCTTCATGCGGGTCGGATTGTACTCGGGTACTTTTATGAGGATTAAGCTCAGTAACAGGCAGTTGAAGGTTGACCCAGAACTAATGACACTCATAAAGTGATTAACTCTGTTTCCAAATATCTTTAGAAATACTGTACCTACATAGTGAAGAGAAAGGACACAACAAGCGAGAAGCAATAGAGTATAGATGGTTGTCTAAATATTTCAGTATTTTAAATCAGCAACAAAAAAATAATATCAGATACATTTTCATTTGTTAAACAATCATTTTATTCCCATTTTTCATCGTCGGGCAATTATTTTGACTAATTCAAAGTTTTTGTTTGTAAAAGTGCTCAGAAAAGTAATTTCCACGGCAATATTTGTCACAATTCCAGAATGTTAATCTAATGACCATCTAATACTTTTTTCATCTTTTCTGTTTCAAATTAAACTGTATAAAACCAAACACTTCGTCAAAAAGCGCTTTATCTACTAGACGAAAAAAAAATTCTATTGACAAAACAATATTAAGAAGCACAGTAATTCTAGCACATTATTTTGTGATCAAAATCTAGTCGTAGAAAACCAAACTTACATTTCGTGAATAAAATATTTTACGCATTAATTACACAAACAGCGATACCGAAACAATCCTAAAATCTAAAATTTAGGACGCGGTTAAATAATATCAGTTTAACAAAGAGCCCACGAAAAAACAAAGACAACAGAACAATAGCAACAGATTCAGTTTGCTTCCTAGAAATATGTAAATATTTAAAGCTGTTCTTTTAAAGCATTATAAATTCAACTTTATCCAGTGCAGATCAGGTATTTGACCGAAACTTTCAAGTACACAATAAAAATATTTGAAGCATTTATCTTGCCCATTGTATTGCAGTGTTAGTCACTGATCCGTAACATATTATAAGCTACATTGTCACTACAAAATGTGTTAGGTTTATTATTAAAAGCAAAAAAATAATAATAACGATTTATTGAAATTTAATTTTAATTAACAATTAAAAAAAACGTCTGGTGGGGAGTTAAACCCCGACCGCTTGTGCGACAAGTGAAAACCCTAATCACACTAGGAAAAAAATGCATACATTTGGACTTTTATAAGTAGTCTTAAAATCTAAAATTTAATCATAAAATTTTTAGTGAAAATATTGGGGCAGATTTGATTAGTCTACACGATATTCTTATTACAGATAAAAAATTCCCAACAATTAGTCTCGAAGATTATTATATGTCGAATAAAATCGCCCACAGACGTCAGAGAGAACTCCCACAGGATATTTCTCTGTCCGAGTTCTAGCTCGGTGACATACACAATTTTGAAATCGGGTCATATCGTCAAGACTATATATATTAAGTTAGGTTAACATGACGTCATAGGCTTGATCCATGACGGTGCCTTAACAATGGGTTAAGCTCAGTTACAACTACTATTTTTCTTATTAATTTAGTTTGTCAGACAAGCAAACAGAGCGTTAAGAACGCCTGGTCTTTCATGTTCTCTAGATTGAAGCTACTCTTCATCGATTGATCATTGCATCATCACGACGTCACAAACTACTCTTAAACGAAAAATCGACTACCGAAAGCTGCTTGTATACTCAGAACGTTATTTTTGTACCCACTAAAATTGCCCTATTAAACACAGCAATAACTGTGTAAACCAAACATAATGACACTATAGCAATAGCAGGAAGAATCCCGTCGCAGGGATGTATCTATTTTAAAAATTTCAGTAGGGCGTCAAATATTTAAAACTCGTATTGCACTGCAAAAAGAACAGTAGATAAGAAAATAAAATGTGATGATATTTTAAATAATTTTTTATCTTTTTTTGGGATTCCAATATGTATTATTACAATATAATGCCAGTATTTCCACCCAACTCTAACTAGCAGATCGTTTTACAATCGTTAATTATTGCTTACTAATCGCGTTATTTTGCCCCCCTAACGTCTCATAAACACGTCACGAAAGTTTAGTGGGTACGAAATAAAGTTCTGCGTATACATTTTTCTTGTTCCAAACTAGTTTCAAAGAAAATGTCGCACGAGAAAAAGGTGGGACCTGTTATATATGCAACCAACAATAGCCAATGCAAGGGTGTCATGGACGCCATGTCGATACACACGTGTGGAACAAACGTGGTGAATAAACCTACAATAATCTGACGTCTTATTATTGAGTCTTATACCTGTGATATACGGAATACACAACATATGGCGACGAGCAAATTATGAATACAAGGGAGTAACTTTCAACGCAAGAACGGGAGGAAAAGGTGAGAAAGTCTAACCGTTCTGAAAAGCACTTTCAAGCATGGCTAGTTACATCGGCATTATCCCTACATTCACACCGGACAGTGACTTCACGATTTTCGAAGAAAGGTTCGAACAGTTCTGCCTCGTGAACAAAATCGTGGACGAAAAATGCAAAGTTGCCCTGTTGCTAAGTCAGATGGAAACGGATGTATACAAGATACTTCGCGATTTATCATTTCCAATTCCACCCAAGGACAAGTCTTTAGAAGAGCTGAAAAAGGAGCTCCAAAAGCATTTCAGTCCAAAAGTAAACGTGTTTAGGGAACGAATTCAGTTCTTCCGAGCCCACCAAACCGCCGAAGAAAGTTCTAATGAGTGGTATGCAAGATTAAAAAATCTCGCGGTCAACTGTAAATTTGAGCACCTCCAAGAGACACTGGTTGATCGGTTCGTGTCGGGAATGCGAGAGGGACCCGTGATGGACCGACTAGTGGAAGAACCAGTCAGTCAAAGTCTCGAGAAGTTAATCGAAATTGCCAACAGCAAGGAGTTGGCGTTAGCATACACCACTGGTAAAGGAAGCGAGGACAGAATTCAGGCAGTATACAGTGGTCACCATAAACTAGGCAACTTCCGGGGAAGAAACCAACACAAACCCAGAAAACCAGATGCAAATGAAGAATATAAAGAAAGTTATGACATGGGAAGAGTGAAGAACCAAAGCAGAACCACCGTGAAATGTAAGTGCTGTGGCAAAACACATGCTGGAACGTGCAAGTTCCAGAATTATACCTGCAATGCATGTGGCAAAAAGGGACACTTACAGAGTGTCTGCAGGGCAAGGCAGATCAACGCAATGGAGACCCTACAAAGTGAACAAGGAAGCGGAAGCGAGGTTAGTATATATGACGAAGGACATTATCTAAACTCTATATATAACATTAACAACACTCTTAAGCCAATCGAACTCTCTGTGTTAATAGATGGCAAAAAATATTGCATGCAGTTAGATTCAGGTTCCGGCATATCTGCAATAAGCAACAAGTTTTATGTAAATAATTTGAACACTTACCAAATTCATCCAACAGTAATGTCGTTTAAAGGTTACACAGGTGAATCAATTGTACCATTAGGATTCATAAATGTTACAGTAGAATATGGAGATATGGCAAGTGAGTTAAAACTATTTGTAATTGAAAATGCTATGACAGGATTGTTAGGCAGGGATTTCATCAATAATTTTAACATTATTTTCACTCCAGCAGGAATAAACGCCATTGACTCGGTGGTGGACGTGAAGACTACGTTAAGGGGGGAGTTTCCTGATGTGTGTACTTCAGCTCTCGGATGTTTTAAACACGGTAAGATTTCTTTGAAGTTAAAGCCTAACGCCGTCCCAAAGCACCATTCTCCGAAACCTGTACCCTTAGCCCTTAAATCCAAAGTCGAGTACGAATTAGAGAGGATGATTCAAAGAGGAATCATTACACCAACCGTAACAGCAGAATGGAGTTCCCATATTGTCCCAGTTCTGCGAAAAAATGGCACCGTACGCATATGTGGTAGCTATATAAATCTCAACAAAAATCTAGTAGATGTGTATTATCCATTACCACGCATAGATCAGATTTATGCTAATCTGAAAGGAAATTACAAATTTTCCAAAATAGATCTAAGCGACGCGTATATGCAGTTCGAACTCGATGATGCGTCAAAAAAGCTGGTCACTATATCCACGCATAAAGGATTATACATGGTTAACCGAATGCCCTTTGGGATTAAGTGTGCAAGCTTTTACTTCCAAAAACATATTGACCAACTTTTTCAAGGCATCGACAATGTATTCACCTTCCAGGATGACATCTTAATCGGACATAAACGTGGCGAAAACCACCTAGATATTTTGAGACGAGCCCTAACCATATTAAAAAACGCAGGCCTAACGGTAAACCTGGATAAATGTCAGTTTCTCCAAAGTAAAATCTCGTATCTGGGATACGACTTATCAGAAAACGGTTTAAGTAAAAGCAAAGATAAGATCGAAGCAATAACATCTGCTCCACCACCAAATAATATTACCGAACTTAAATCGTTTATTGGAATGGTTAATTATTATAGCAAATTTATACCCAACATTACAGAAACTCTAGCACCCCTCTATCAGTTACTAAAAAAGGATGTTAAATATCAATGGACAGATAAATGTGATACAGCGTTCAGAAGTATTAAGCAAAAGATTGCGTCTGATACGGTTCTAACTTACTTCGATCCTAATCTACCCATCATTGTAACATGTGATGCTTCTGAACGTGGCATAGCAGCAGTTCTTGCACACAAGATGACAGACAACACTGAAAAAATGGTGACATGTGTATCAAGAACTTACACTAAAGCTGAGCAGAACTACTCAGTAGTACACAAAGAAAGTTTAGCATGCTATTTCGCCATAAACAAATTCCAAGAATACTTATATGGACAGAGATTTATTTTGCGAACAGATCAAAAATCGTTGGTCTACTTGTTTGGGAAACAAAAGGAAATAAATCAGACATATGCTAATCGAATAAAGCGCTACGCACTGTATTTTTCAAACTTCGATTTCCAAATTGAACATATAAAGGGACGTGACAACGCAGTCGCAGACTGTTTATCGCGATTACCACTAGACAAGCAATTTACAGTTGACGAAGTAGAATACAATAGCATATATTTCTCTAATGTAGATATTCCGATAGACAATACAATGGTAAAAGAAGAAACAGCAAATGACGCTATCTTAACTAAGGTTATAGAATTTGTTCGATCGGGATGGCCAAACGAGATCGATGAAAATTATCGACCATTTTATAATCGCAAATTAGACCTCCACGTGGTAAATGGCTGTTTGTTGTTTGGAGACCGTATCGTGATACCAACCACAATGCGAGAAATAGTAAAAAAAGAACTACACTCTACTCATGAAGGCATCGTGCGAATGAAAGCTATGGCGAGATCGTTCTTATGGTTTCCTGGAGTCGACAAAGAAATTGAACAGATATGCAAATCGTGCAAAGCTTGTCTGTCTGTCACATCTCATCCCCCAAAAACCTATGTATCCTGGCCGGAATCTTCTAATCCGTTCGAAATAGTCCACATGGACTTTTTCACGTTCCTGCAAAGACAATACCTGATCATAGTAGACAGCTGCACTAAATGGTTAGAAATTTACAGTATGAAAAACATTACAAGCGAGAGTACTGTAGAAATGCTGAGAGACTGCTTCTCTCGATTTGGGCTGCCAGAAACAGTTGTTTCCGATAACGGACCTTCCTTCGTCTCCGAAGAAATGGAGATTTTCTTTTACCGGAACGGAATCAAACACATGACAATCTCGCCATACAACCCTCAAAGTAACGGCCTTGCTGAAAACGGTGTTAAAATAGTAAAAAACAAGCTGAAGTCGGCATTGGCAGATGAACAAAATAAAAATGCCACCATCCAGACGATACTTTCCCGTTTCCTGCTAGTTTATAGAAACACACCGCATACGACGACCAAAATATCTCCAGCTAGTGCTATGTTTGGTCGAGAATTACGTACAAGGTTTCATCTAATGACTCGTACTGACCATGTCTCAAAAAAAATACCCCGCGAACCAACTACAAGTCGAACTTTTAAAATCAACGACAAAGTCATAATCAGAGACTATCGGACAACCGAGAGGAAATGGGTTGATGCGAAAATAATAAAAACAATTGGCAACGCCACTTATTTATGCCAGCTCGCATCTGGAACGGTGTGGAAACGTCACCCAAATCAAATAAAGAAAAGGAGTGAGGGTTGCGAATCAGTATTGAGTAAAAGCACCGCCATTAAACAGCACAGAGGACATTGCAATGTGAAAATCGGAATGCCCATAAATTACGATCCTACGTTACCACAACTACCCATCCCTGCCCCAGTACGTAGCACTTCCACTAATCTGGATCCTGTACCAGCAGGTATGAACAACACACGTCAGGACACTCATCCTTTACCAGCCACCGAGCCAATGTGTCCTCCCGCAGCACATGAATGTATTAGACCATCTAGAATTAGGAAAACCCCAAAGATCCTAGATGATTTTATTGTTAGTATGTAAGATTTCAACCTGTAAATATTATTTTAGTTAGTTTAGGTAAATTTCATTGTTAGGAGGAATATTTTGTAGTTGTAAGTTAAAGAGGGAGATGTGTTATATATGCAACCAACAATAGCCAATGCAAGGGTGTCATGGACGCCATGTCGATACACACGTGTGGAACAAACGTGGTGAATAAACCTACAATAATCTGACGTCTTATTATTGAGTCTTATACCTGTGATATACGGAATACACAACAGGACCGTAATTACGCTATTATTAAACATGTTTAGATCGAAAATTACAACTATTATTATACTACGTTTATGTGTATTTTTTTTTCTTATAAAATTTAAGGCTATGATTTTTAATTTTTTGACGTGCCAAAAAATAAGTTGTCAAATATTATTTAATAGTTGCTTATTATTTTGCACGTTTGTAAAGCCCTGCCCCACCTTTACTTACTACGGTACTGCACTCTAAACAATTTGGTAACCCACTAATTGAAGGAAATGATTGTGCCTAAATTTTTAAAATTGTATTTAAACAACTCGGTGGAAACCAATGCTTTCTGAATACTAATGAGTGTATGTAATTACTTGTGTTTCCTCAGCCTGATGATATGTATGAACTGCGCGCGCAATAAGGTATCACCACAGCTCTTTGATTAAATTTCTCACAATGCTAGAATTGTTCAGTTTGTTGTCAACGTTCCGGATTTATTTTAGTGTCTGTTCATATATTACTATTTATCAGCTTCTCACTTTTCAGTCAGTTTGAATTAAACTTGTCATGGGTAAGTTACTGCAATGATTAGGTACAGTTATAACAATTTTATTTCCTTAATACCAAAGTTTTGTTGTATCTATTGTTATATTTTCCAACATTTGCTTAATAGATCATTTAAGGGTTTTTTCATTTCATAAACTAATTTATAACTTTTTTATGACTATTTCGCCCTACATGGATTACTCATAACCGTACGGTACTTCCATTAAGAACTTGTATTAAATTTTTGTACCCGAAAAAATTATATTATATATTTAAACAATCATATTTTGAAGTCCACTTTTGATGTAAAGTAATGCCTATTAATTTTAATTCTTGGTACACAGTTTTTAATACTCCGCAGATGCTAAACACATAAATTAATCCTACAGATCCAAACCGAGAAATTTCTATGTATGTGCTGTTCTGTAAATACAACATTTTCCCTTTGTGCTTAATTGAAAATCCAATAAAATATATCAATATAATATACTGATTTGGGCTGGATTCCCATGCATTGTTTCACTGGTAAGAAATATTGTATTTTTGTAAAACTCTTTTTTCCTTTTTCATTACAAAAAACACACTCTGATTCGGATGACAATTATATGAAATAAGTATGTGCAATCATACAACGAAACTTGTAAAAATAATGTATGTAATACCAGATACTTTTCATGATAATTATTAAATATAATTTGCGAAATGCAGAATAATGAAAGAAAAGACATATTTTTGGCAGGCAGAAGATAAAAAAACAACATATGTCAAATTACTTGTAAAAAATCCATGGAACATTTCCACCAAATTTATCTAAATCTTATCTAAGTAATAATGATAACTTTATATTCATAACCATAAGATAAAAAAAAATGTACGCAACTGTACCCTAAAAGTATTGATCTAAATTTATTTACACACAAATTTCCTCACAATTATATAGATTGCAGTCACAAAAACTGAAACCATTTTACTACAGTACAGTACACAATTGAAAGAACGACCAAATTGTTGCAAAGTAAAGCGGATTGACTCAAAAGTCAGTTCAGTTCAAAACATGAATGACAATAATAAGTAATTTCATTCATCAAACTTTGAGTATAGTAAACCAAAAGCTATAAGGTTATATGACCATCTTAAAATTATCCCATTGTGTCGAAGTTAAGTTGTTTACAATAGAAAAGGTTTTAGAGTCGTAAATAACGTGTCCACTGCATTTCGACCGACTATTGTCATTTCGTTCAGGGGCGGCTTTCACTAAATATCTAAATTTAAGCAAGAAATGTTTAGAAGACGATTTATTGTCAACCGGTAAGCTTAGTGCGAACCACACAAAGAGGGTATTTATTTGCCGTCAACTACTTTTATGATGGTCATATAACCTTATAGCGCTTGGGCCACTTTACATCCTTTCAGTAATTGCAACATAATGAGCGTTAATTTCAATCGCACATAGTTGTGACGACAACGTTAAGAGACAAAGATCACGTCTGTAAATTGCCAATTTTTCAAGTTTTTGACAAGTTTTGCACTCTACCAGCAAAATCTTAGTTCGGAGAAAATTTACAATCAATTTTTTGAGATATTGTGATCAATTTTTTGGAAAAAATAAGCAAATAAATTTTTTTTAGTTAAAATTTTGAAACAAATCTAGTTTCTTAAAGTTATAAAATGATTTTACAAGTTTTATTTTTTAACGACAATTTAATTATGTATTAAAATGAAAATATACATATACAAATTAATATACTGGTTTCATGCATCAGAAGAGATTTCATAAATTTTTGTGTGCTAAGAATTTTCGAAAAATGTAATAAATCTTTTTTTATTTAATTAGGAAAATAAATTGCTTTATATATTCATTCTTTTAAGATTCAACACTTTTAAAAAAGAAAAATATATTATATATTTACTTCCTGAGCGTAAGCTAAGGGTACTTTAGCGTCATGATCCCTAAACTACGAAAAAATGAGTCTCCCATTTCCGTCTGTCTGTCCGTCCAATTTTTGTTAGACAGATAATGTCCTAAACTAGTTAACCTATTTTTGTCAAATTTTATACGTGTATAAATTATATACAATTTAATTTTAAATTTGCAAAACCGAATGCTTTGAAATTTTGCAGATGTTTTAAATTTATCACAAACATGGTAAATTTTTATTCAAAATATGTATATTTGCTTACCCCCCCCAAAAAAATTGATCACGTCATTTTACCGAATAAATCCCATCTAAAATATGCAAAATATAATGAGTCTATACTTATGATTTATCACTGTATTCATAATTTTTAGATTTTCTTAGATAGAGTGATTAAAAAAAAATATATTGATTCAATTTGTTTTATTAATTAAATCAGGAACTACAAAACCGAATGCTTAGAAATCTTGTAGACGTTTTCGAGTTATTATAAGCATGGCAAACTTTGAATCAAAATGTATTTGTTTATCCTCCTAAAAAATTAATCTCAAAATTTTGTCAAATAAAACTTATCTAATCTTGAGTCTATACTTGTAATTTATCACTGTATTCATATTTTTTAAATTGACTCAAAAAATCAATGATGTGTCTTGTAATTTTTTTCCAAAATTGGGGAATACAATTCTGTTATTAACAGTATTACACGACAATAGTCCAAGTTAATGTACGTGTCCTTGCCAAAATGTTGATGACGTCATCACAAAAGTAAAAACTCATTTGAAACATATGCGTACCACACTTCTTTACATTTACTTTTACATTACATACATATGTTTATTGCAGCTTATAGTAGTTCTCAGAAAAAAATTAAAATTCACAAAATCAAATTTTATAATTTTTCAAAAATGCTGGATATGATTCATTGTACTTCGAGGCAAGGGAAGTCCTGTCGAAACAACCTTGACCAATTTTTTTCTTCATATTTTTCTTTTCAAATAGGGAATTTCACGTTTTCTCAATGTTTAATAGTTTCTAGAATAAGAAAAGTTAGAGCTCCCCTTTAAGCTTTGTTTGTCTTTGCCTGTTAGCGACTTTTTTAGACAAGTAATATTCGAAACTACTAAACCAATCACTACGAAATTTTAGAATAAAGCTTTTTATGTAAATGATAAAATAAATGATTTGTTTATCATCAAACAAATTTGCAAAGTTAGTAAATCCTATTTAAAATAGACATTGCAATATATTTCATACATATGAATCCACCCTTATTTTTCACCTTACCTAGGTAGATTTTTAGAAAAAAAAAATCAAAATCGTACAATAAAATGTTGCAATTATTCTTAGAAACAACAAACCAACTGCCCTGAAATTTTGCAAACACGTTAACGTGAAAATTGTAAATTGGTAATCATAATTCACTTGATCATTTCCTCCAAAAATTTGATGACGTAGGTAATCACAAAATAATCACTTAAAATATATTGAATAAATTGCTATAAATAAAATGTTTTAATCCACACTTTTTTTTAAACTCAAAGTATGTACGGTACGTGTCTCGAAAAAATTAATGAAATAAACAGTTTATTTTTTGATAACAATGGAAAGTAGTTTATTCAGTTTTTTCTCTAATATGATAACACATTGTTATAAAAATTACCCTGTATGTATTACTAAAACTGATATACATATTTCGAAAACTCACACGAAACGTTGCAATACTTTACAATAGAATAGACTGCTTTGTGCTCCTTGACTTGAATATATAACGGGTGATCAAAAGGTTTTCAGATTACAGTTGGCCATGGAAATATTTGTCATGTCTTTGGTTAAACTGTAAATGTCAGCCATAACCTCATCTGTGTTTTAATAATTTGGATTTTTGGCATTTGCATTGTAATCAAAGACATGACAAATATTTCCATGGCCAACTCTAATCTGAAAACTTTTTGATCATTCGTTAGTTTGATAATTCACCTCAATTTTTATTTTAACATAGAGTTATCACAAAAATAATAAAATGAAGAATTAAATTTAAAATTTATATAAGAAAATTTAAAGTCAGTTTATCACAAAATCGTCCTTGCATCCAAAAATCTGATAAAAAATTAATACTTTCAGCGAAACGTATTTGTAAACTCTATAATAGTAATTTAAAGAATGATTAAAATAATAAAGCTAGAATTACGCACAAAAAAAGGCGGAATGGCATTACTCACTTTGACAGATTTAGTGATACAATGATACATAAAGTAAACTAGTAATAACGTTCCACTCTATAGGTATGCAAGTGGAATTGTTATTGTGAACAAGTTATTGTAGGTAATTCTAATTTTTATTTTTATCTTATGCATGAATTAACATTCAATTTAATTGTGACAGGAAAGGCATATCTTGTGTTAATGGTAATCCTTCTATGTTCCAAACTATACGAATCGGCAAGCAACTCACTGTAAGTAAATAAATATATATAACCGAAGTTTACAGGAGTGATTATTATTGAAAGTAATAAAATAGTATTACCTTCATTCCACTGCTACTAAGTTATTGAAGCAACGGTAATATAAAACGGTACGAAGATAATCAAATCAAAGCCAAACCACAAATGAGTCAACAAATGCTGATCACGACAGATAGTTCAAATACGAGAAAAATTATACTAAATTTAATAATATCTCTATTACTAACTTTTCAGCTTTTACCACGGAAAAACTACATTCTGTGTTTAAGACATATTTGTAACATTATAACATTACGACCTTGCAGAAGTCTATTTTAGTTGAATAAAAAAAATCTCGAAAGTTCAGTCTCACGACTAATCTGACATTTATGAATTCGCGAGAAACACGGAGTGGCACGTTTGACAAGCATTTGTTCTAGTACGCCAGAGACGTATTCAGGCTTGATATACATTATGCTGACGTAAATTCAATTCTTGTCGATAAATATCAGCATCCATTATTTTGAAATAAATCGCTGCCATTTATCCGTTGGCTAACATGTCCAGACTATTTCATTCACGCGACGTGGTGATTTCGAAGTTCGTGAACTACTCACACTCCATGGGCGTTTCATAATATTTACCTATCTAAGGAGAACAGGCATAAACGGTCTCAAATAAATCACTCACAATCAAACTTTAAATCACTTTCAGTAGCAATCACTTTGAGAACTTCTATGTACCTTTCAATAAAAATATTGTACATTCTAACTTTGAAATCTGTAGTTGGCGATGGAAATGTAATCAATCAGCAGGGGCATGTACAAGAGTTTCTGGTGATGTCGATGCCACATTATATCCCTCTTTAGAAACTTGCAGGTTGGTCTGTGGTACAGCTGGAGGACTTTGGCCGCAGCCAACAGTTGGCACTGTCTTAAGTGATGGATTATTTCAGTTTTCGTTAAGGTAAGTACATACACGGTAGTCTAAAATTCAGAATTTGAAAGACAATTTTACTTTTAATAGGCAGTAGTCCAGAGCTTCAGCTTTTCGGCTCTTTAATTGATGAATCAACACTATTGTAAGACTAAAGAATCTACAAACTAAAGTCAGTGTAGAGATGACATAAAATTTCTGGTATAATAGCAATTTAATTATATGTCATCAATGGAAACGAAGACAATTTCGTATTATTATACTTAGAATAATAACATTATTAAAAAATAGTGCAAACTGCCCACTTTAGTACGTATATAGAGAGATTTTATTTACCAAATTGGTTTGCTGTAGTAGAAGTTGAACCGACGAAACGTCTAATACATTTTCGCAGCGTTTTTACCTCTCCTATTCATGGGTCACTATCACTATTAATCTACATATATTACAAACCCAGTGGAAGAATTTCTCTTTTATAATTTGTTCACTTCTTACAAACTCAAGCAAAAGATTTTTTATAACACGTAGATTTGCAATAAAATTATTTAAACAATAATAAGTACTTCAAGAAGTTTCAGTATAAACCAACTATCGACTTCACTGCATGTGCTTTGAATGTTGTACAAAGTACTGCTAAACTTCCACACACAATTCATACTTCCGTTAATTGACCTTTTCTTGAAAAATCCTCAGACGCAAAAATTTATATTTTCTAACCAGCCATTTTTGCAAAATGATGTCATCAACGATATTTTTCAAGAAAACGTCAATTAACCGAATTCTGAATTTTATGGCCCATAATGTGTCTGGGATTCGCGTGTAAATGTAACTATTTACTGACAAAACCCAAAGCAGTTATGTAGTGAAATCAAACTAATTACTTGTTTTTTTTTCAGTTCTCTCAAATTTGAGTTTGCGTCTGAAGACAACGACGTCACTACCTATCTTAAAGAAATAGCCGATTTGTTTAACAAAACTCTTTCCTCAATCAGTGCATCAAATTGTTCAAATACGGACAATACAGTAACGATATCTATCGTTGTTTTGACAAACAATATGGACCTCAATTGGAAAACAGATGAGGGCTATAATTTAGAGATTTTAACAGCAGGAAAAGAAAATTCCGTGAAAATAAGCGCAAATACAATTTTTGGAGCCAGACATGCTTTGGAGACGGTATCTCAACTGATAGAACTTTTTAGTAATAATAATGGAGAAGTTTGTCATGTTATAGTCGATGAAGCAAAAATTAGCGATGCACCAAATTATAACCACAGGGGGTTACTGTTAGATACAGCAAGAAATTTTCTGTCCATTAGTTCTATCAAAAAACACGTAGATGGAATGGCTCATTCTAAACTAAATGTACTTCACTGGCATATAACAGACTCGCAAAGTTTTCCTTTAGAACTTCCTACACTGCCAAACATGACCAAGTAGGTTTTTAGCTTGAGCCGTTGGTTCATTAATAATGTAAAATATTTTAGGTACGGTGCTTATTCAGATAGTAAAATATATCATCCTACCGACATTGCGGAATTAATATCATACGCTAAACTAAGAGGTGTTCGAATTATCATAGAAATTGATGCTCCATCACATGCTGGTAATGGTTGGCAGTGGGGACCAGACGCCGGACTTGGTGATCTTTCAGTTTGTATTAACCAGCAGCCTTGGAGATCTTTCTGTATTCAACCACCTTGCGGTCAGTTAAATCCTGTCAACAGTAACCTTTACAAAGTGTTGAAAGACTTATACAGCGATGTGATTAATATGTTACCGAAAGGCGAAGTATTCCATATGGGTGGTGATGAAGTTTACATTCCGTGCTGGAATTCAACTCCCGAAATAATTGCTTACTTAGGAGATAAACCTAGAACAACTGAAACATTCTTGGATTTGTGGTCTGATTATCAAGCTCAAGCACTCGAAGCTTTTGACTCTGCAGTTGGTAACACCAATACACCGATAATTCTATGGACAAGCCATTTAACTGAAGTCAGCGTTATAGAAAAATATCTTTCCAAAACCAGGTACCAATTAGTTTAAATTTATTTTCACGTATAACTCTCTTCCACTGTTAGATATGTAATACAAACTTGGGTTCCTGCAGCGGATACCTTACCACAAAACCTTCTTGATCTAGGTTATCAAATCATTGCTTCTACAAAGGACACATGGTATCTGGATCACGGATTCTGGGGAAATACCGTATATCATAACTGGAGAGTTGTTTATAATAATAAAATTCCAACTGCCTCGGGCACTCTTGGAGGAGAGGCAAGTAATACACCTCGTGAAAAATAAAACAACTACATATCGTATTTTTAGGTGTGCATGTGGGCTGAACTAGTTGATGATAGCTCAGTAGAATCGCGAGTTTGGCCTAGAGCTGCTGCGGCTGCTGAAAGACTTTGGTCAAATCTAAAAACTAATGCAGATCAAGCTGAACGCCGGTTTTATAGACACAGAGAAAGACTTGTTTCAAGAGGTATCAACGCTGAAGCTCTAACCCCCAGATGGTGTTATCAAAATGAAGGCGAATGCTAATTTTGTTTAATATTGTTTATAACATGCGACCAACAGATAATGTCCTCTAGTTAGTGCTGGATTTTTAGCTACTTTTCTCATTACTCTTTGTGAGTAGTAAACTTACCCGTTCAGTGCCAACTTGAGAACGTTTTTTATTAACGGTTCCTCACTTTGTTACATTTTCATTATATACCAAAAGAGCACTGTGCACACATAAATATATTTTTATATGTGTAAAGAATATTTCCTTTTTAAATTTACACCTTTGCGACAATACTGCAAACAACGATTTTTTGAAAATATTAGAATACTTTTAATATTCACATTAACTCCAACGCTGTCGACACTTTTCAATAGCTATAGGTATAGCGAACAAAAGGTTATTATTAATTACTACCTGATCTTTAATTTTTGGTCAACACTCACAAATTGGAAAAGATTTTTATAGGCTTTACAGGAAAATGATTGATCTGGATATGAATATAACAGCCAAAAAGATAGAAAGGTATAGATTAGGAAACAATCAACAATTACTTCAGTTTTCTTCTAAAGAAAAACGTCTGTCACGAAAGCAACATCCCTAAAATCAATTATGAGTAGGTACCTACGTATCTTTTCACATAAAGAAAACAAGAACATATCAACAACATAAACAACTTTGGAATAAACATAAAAGTGAAAATAGGTTAGTTGTGCTTTGTACTTAAAAACATGTACTATTTAAATTCTAATTAAAAATTGAAATTGAAGTCCTCAAATATCTACATTTCTAGTAAATTGAAATAATATATATATATATCACGAATTTTCTGTTTGCTCTAAAACTGTATCTAAAACATTAATTGTGTAGTCTATATCTTCTTTTGTCACACACATTGGTGGTTTAATTCTCAGTACCTTAAAAGTATAATTTGAAAAAAATACAACAATTAATTTACAAAGCTTTTGTACTCACATTTCCTTTTAATCCACCTCTTCCAAATATTAAACTCAAATTTCGGCAACTTTCCCATATTTTTGAAAACTTGTCATTGTTTAAAGGTGAAGAAATATCGTCATTGTTAACAAGTTCTACTCCTACTAACAAACCCTTTCCCCGAACGTCCCCTATTGTTCGGTATTTGCGTTTTAATTTTTCCAGTTCTTTCAAAAGATATGTTCCAACTTTTGAACAATTTTCTTGTAATTTTTCTTCTTCTATTATCTAGAAAATTTCCTAAAATTGAAGTCACACAATTCACCAAATTTCCTACGTCTAAAACGGCAAGTCCAACAGTACAAGCTAAGGGATTGCCCCCAAACGTATTGAAATGCATCGAACTTGTCAGTGCCTGAGCTATTTCAGGACGAGTTACAACAGCAGCTAATGGAAAACCGTTACCAATACCCTTAGCCATCGTTACGATATCCGGTTGTATATCGTGGGCTTCAAATCCCCAGAAATGTTCTCCGGTACGTCCAAATCCGCTCTGCACCTAATAGAATCACAAGAACAGAACACATGTTTGTTTTAAGTTATCATTAGCAAATTACCTCATCAGAAATGAAAACGCCTCCATTTTCCTTAACTATATCATAGACTTTTTTAATGTAGCCTTTAGGAAATTGTATAACTCCTCCAACTCCCTGTATAGACTCAGCAAAAAATGCTGCGAGTGTACCAGGTTTAATACTATATTTAAAAACGTCTAGAACTTCGTTAACATATTTATCTTTTGCCTCACAATTTGTTAGTGAACAAGAACAATTTCTAGAAGTTTGGATAGGACTGTCTCGACAATGTGCACCTCCCCAACAGCCTCTATATACATCTGGATTCATTACCTAAAACTATACTTTTCAAGACAAATATGTTAAAAAATTTAAAGTATTTCTACATGATGAACTCCAGGTGCTTGAGGTACTGCATATTTGTAAGACGCATTTGATGTTAAGCTCATTGTTTGATATGTCATTCCGTGATAACAATTTTTTAATGTGATTATATCAAAATTTTTTGAGTATGCTCTGGCCATAAGAACTGCCAGATCGTTAGCTTCAGACCCACTGTTAACAAAATACACAACCTGTAAATAATACATTAATTGAAAATTTTTATATAAGTAGGTAATATGTACGTATGTTTCTGGTTTTTTACATAAAATGTATGGCCGGGCTATCTAAGTATGTTCGTTAGAAATTTTTAAGACAATCAAATAACAATAATAATAAAATGTAATACGTAACTAGAGGATATCAGGTTACCAGATGATAGAAGAATCATGTTAACAGACCATAGAACATGTTCAATAAAGATGATTATTATTAATTACCTCAAAGTTTTAGATGTAAAGGAAAAAAATTGATATCTAGCTTATTACGTACATTCTCAAACAGATATTTTTTTCCAAGTTTTTCATCGCACAAATTTGTTTCCTGAACAGGCAGTAATTTTAAAATAATTTGAGCACTCTGCAAAGAAACAGCTTTACATTACTTTACATAATGTCCCTTGTGTATTTTCTCCTACTACGAAATCTAAAATAGGTTAAATTTAAAATAACAATAGTAGTCGTATTTTTTTTAAGAAAAACTCTTTTTTTGAGAAAGACAGAAATTAAATGACTTCTTCTTTCTTTTTTTCCAGAATTTCAAATGATTGATTAAATGAATTACAAAATAACTTTATATACAAAGTATGGATGCAGCTAAATATTTCTATAATTGTTTTATTTCAGTTAAATGTGTTATTTTTACAATTATTATTAACTTGTATTTAATTTTTTCTGTCAACGCACAGATGATAAAGAACTAATGATAAATACAGACAACATTTCCTAGGCCAAACAAGTTCAGTTTTTAAAAATTGTATTATTTTAATACTAATTAATAATAATTTAATTGTTCGTTTTTATTTTTTAGAACAAATAAAGAAATAGCGGGTGTTACATCACTCAATGCAGGAAAAAACGCTTTTTTTTTTTTAAATATTAAATTTGAGTCCTCGTGTATCTCCAAAACAAATGTTGATGAAAATTTCAATAACATTTCAGAGGATAGAGTTTAAATACTTTTACCTACACAAAATTTCAGTGAGTTCTGATGAACCGTTCCGGAAATATTTAGCTATATCCATACTTTTTAACAACCCTGTATATATGTATACTACAGGGTAGTCAACCATAATCTAGTTTGAGTCATTTTAACTACAAAGTATTTCAAAGCAAACATAATAGTTGTATAACAATGCTGCATTGTTTTATAGCAAACACAGAACACAAAAAACAAACAAATATATAAACTGGTGGTATTATATAATTTACATAAAGTTTTTTTTTTTGTTTCATATTTTTAACTATGCAAAACCGCACCATAGTAACCTAGAAAATTTCCGAAATTACTATTAAAATAAAATTAAATATTATCTTAGTTGTCTGATCACAACAATTTCTATGTAATTTCGTGATTAATGATTAAAAATTATGCAACCATAGGTTACATTCATTACAACAATACAACGTAGTTATAACTTTCCAATTATGTATGTTTTCCAATGTTACTGCAAATTTTGTGTGTACTACAAAGCAAAAGTTTTTTTTAATACTTACTTTTAAATCACCAGGAAATTTTTCCGTTAAACGATACGCATATTCATGTATTTTTGGATGGAAATAAACATTCGATACATGTCCTAATTTTCTAATTTGTTTCTCCAAAGCTTCCGTTATTTTCCTAAAAAAAGGAGCTGTAATTAAACTGCAGAAATGTCGGAAAGCGAAAAATACATAAACATGTATTTTTTTTTAGTAACCTATTTTTGACATTTTTACTTCCCAAACGTGAGCTAAATAAGTATTGTAATAGGGTCCATTCCACGAATGTCTACTTTCATGTTTTCTCGACGTTCACGACCTCTAGAATATCTGTCTGTCGTCTGTCTGTCATCTGTCTGTCGTCTGTCTGTAGTCTGTCTATCGTCTGTTTATCGTGAGAAACATCCTGTAAAAAATGGTACAACGCAAATCCAAATTTGTCTTATCATTACCACCAGTAATAAAATGACGTCATCTACAAAATTTACAATAGTAAACGTTATTTAAAATGGATGAAAAAACCTAGTTCCTCTCTGAAATACGCAAAATCTTGTGACTATACTTTGTGCTATAGCACTGCACTTATAATTTTTAGAATTACATACTTCTACAGAGTGACTCAAAAAAATGAAATGAAGTCACGGTCGTAAACGCACAATATCTTCAGCCGAACTCTAAAATGCGAATTTTATGAGTCCCAGGTAAAATGGGTCAATTAGTGCGAAAAAATCGTGCTAATGTTTTGAGCAAAAATTATGACTTGTAAACTTTGCAAAATATTTCGGTTTTGAACTGTAAGTTTAAAGAGCAAATTGTAGGAATTGGTGCAAACGTAGTATTTTTTTTAAGTACGCTTCGATAAAAACGTCAGTTGGTGATGAAAGAAGCTTTTCCAAATATAAATAAATAGGTATATTTTGTCCCTATAAATTTAAATGTGTGTAAATGTTAATAATATTTTAAAATTATGTAAATGTGATGCTTTAATTAAAAATCTGATTAAGTATTTCCTGCAAAACGCGTATCAGGGAGTTAGGACATATATTTCATAACATGGCAAATTTTTTGAAAAAAAAGCCGGGCATAGTTATAAAAAAAACTGCAATCACTATTTTTGGGTCTTTGCAAAATTTGTATTTTTTTTTTAATTTATTTTTCTTAGTAAACTTTAAAATTAAAGATTCCTATCACCATATAAAACCATAAACTAAACATATCCTTCGGTTATAGTGTTCCAAGTGCTGGTTTGTTTTTACGACTGCCTATTGTGAAGGAGTTAAGTCTTCCACAATAGGCCTCTGCCGCAAGTAATCCAGCGGTCATAAACCATCAAGACACCAAATGTCTACACTACGCTGGGCCGTACGCGCCCGTAAACCCTTAAAATGGTTTATGGCACGGCTATTTACATTTTCAATAGAGTTCCTAATGCTTGCAGTAATTGAGATTGCAGTGTCATAAAAACGAAGTCAGACTGGGACAACTATAATCCTGTAATTCAGGAAAATTTCAAACCGGCACGCGTATGCTGTCATCACTTTGACGAGGATTCCGACCGCCTGAGTTGTTAAGCCATTGTTCGTCAACAACAGAGCCCAAATGTTATAATGTAATTTTTATGATCTCTATTGTCCGGTGGTAGTTTGCAAAAGCTGTACAATTTGCTCGGAATTCGGCAGTTGAAGGTGATGATAAGAGATACGGGGATTACAAACCGAAGTGTTAATATAGTAAAATATGACGAAAAATATAGTGCAGTTATGGCTTAATTGCTACCCAACTTTGCATAACAAGTGGAGAAGTATAATTTCCATTAGAAAATGTATCAAGCAAATGAAAGATAAATTAAAAACGAATTAACCACCGGCAAGGTGGTACTAGTCTAACGGAGTAATCACCATAGTGAAAAAAGCAGCTACAGACCGACAAAAGTAGCACTTATTTATTTGTGTGGTGTGACTCTGTCTCACGTAGCCGAAAATACATACTACACGATATATTACAATTGGTTTTCTTAAGAAAACAATAGTATTCGTTATACCTGCGAACTTTTTGTGAAAAGGCCACTTAGGGCCTGTTGCATAAACGCAAATCAAATTTAATCTCTGATTAAGAACAATTGTAACTATGATAATAACAATCGTTACTATGGAGTTAATCAGAGATTAAATTTGATTTGCGTTTATGCAACCGGCCCTTATGTGCTATGATTTTGTTTTCCCATAGTACGGAATAATTTCATAGGTCAAAAGTGTAAAACAATGGTTAACGTTTACATTGTGTGTAAAACGTAGACGGAGAAATGATTTTCCAAAAGATCTCTTCAAAGTATCTCTACACCTTATAACTTTTAATTCTTCACAATTTTCAATGTTTTTACGGTAAATAAAATTTTCTTCTATAGCAGAGCTATGATTCGTAAACAAGGAAAATGTCAGTGTAAAAACTTATTTCGATGGATGAAACTATATGTATAAAGATAAAATAAGTCATATTGTTACATCTTTTACTAGCGCAAAGCTGTAAAAGTGTGTAAGAACAAATTAAGACAACACCCGACTGGCGAAAACTACGCACTATAAAACATGTTGTTAAATTTTGTATACACAGAACAAGATTTTTAGTTTTCTATGCTGCACAAAAATAATAATGAAAAAAATACTAACGGATGACTATGTCCCACCGAAACGGTACAAATCCCCCCAAACATATCCAGATATCTTTTTCCATTTATATCAAATAGCCACTGCTTGTAACCTTGATTAAATGCAATAGGACTTTGATAATAAGTAGTTAAGGCCGGATTTAGTCTTGTACGCCTAATATGTGCCATTTCTTCTAAGGATAAACCCTATAAAAAGTAGATCAACAACAGCTTAACATGAAGTTTTGGTTAAAAATACTTACAGAGTATTTCTCCGGTATGAAATCATTTTGCGGTAACTTTGGTGCAATGGAAGAGTTAAATCGGTTTAATTTTTGAAATATATTGGGTACAATTTTTTTGTGATGAAACATTGTATTTAGTAAATAGTTACAGACTACAGCAAAAGAGCGCTTAAGAAAGACTGAAAAATATATTTTTAAATAACTACTAAATATTTACAAACTGACAAACAGAATAATTTAACTGTGTACTTATTTATCATACAATGATTTGTTAACATAGAATACCAAAATTTCACTATAAATAGAACACGATGTAAGATAAGGAGGCATTTCAAAGCTGTTAATACAGTGCAAAAACAAAAAAAAAACACACACGCAAGGTCAAGGACGTACCAAATATTATTTAATCGAGATAGACCAACTTTATTTTTATAGTACTATTTGTTTATTTTAAAAGCAATGAAAATTGGCCTATATTTTTTACAAAATTTTCATACTACCTAAATCGGGAGCGGTCGGTCTACAACAGAGGATCAGAAGCGATTGGTTTAAAATAGGTCCATTGGTATATATATAGCAAAAACTATTTATGTGCTTGATTATGGAATAAAAGCAAAAATATTTATTGCAACTTAAAAACTCAAGTAAACTGTACTGGAACTGCTTTTATATTCAATTTTATTAAATTATTTTTGTATGTTACATCCACTACCAGGCTAACAGTTTCGAGCACGCCACTGGAACAACCACTTTCTCCAAGGAGCTGGACGAGCCATTTATGACCATAGAAAATCATGCAAGTGGGGATATTCTAGGTTTATGACTCCAATCGAAAGTGCGGCCCAGGAAATTTTTCAAACTATCTTTCTTCCTCTCATCGATAGTTCGATGGGTACACCACTACACTACTGCCGTGCTAAACAAAAACAACGTAACTGCAATTTTGGGCGATTTTGAATTTGTGGTATTTTTAAATTAAACAAGTTTCAAGGATTGTCCAGGTATATAATTATTAAATTCTAAGCTATTTTTTATTTAATAATTGCATAATTAGTAATTCAACGAGGTAACCCAATTTTCAAACGCCATTATCTCGAAAACGGCGCGAATGCAGATACGTTGTTTTGGTTTAGCACGGCAGACTAGTAATAGATATACCCCTTCTGGAACAATATAAATTGCTGTATTGGTGAAATTTTAAAATTGATCAGATTATTTAGATCCCACTTTTTGTCAGGAATATTTTTTCGCCTATTTCAGCACATACACAATTACACACACCACGTAGTTTACTTATATTGTTAAAGATTTGAATAATTTATAAACATATCTTCAATCTTCCCGCTACCAAAATCAAGAACTCAAACCATTCACTTTCGACAGCGCCATCTTAGGATTACTTACAACAACCAAAAATTTCTCGGACATCTTGATCAGTTTAGTTATTATGAAATCTTGCAAGCAGTTGGGTATTGTTGGTTGCGTGCATTTTCGTTAAAATTCGTAATTTTTCGTCTCATTCTGTCATTGTCTCGCTCTAGTGTCCACTCTTTTACTATAAAATAACTGGAACCGGAAGTGGAAATGCTGTAGTATAAAGCTAAATTTCAAACTGATTTCAGGTTATAAATGTATTTAAATTTTGTGTGTGTATAATTCATTCATCTACTAGTTTTTGAACGTAATTCATACATTACTTCAGCGTGACAATGGCTGGCAAAATAATTAACACCCTTGATCCACCGTCATCGGCAAGTTCAGAAAGGTAAGCAAACTAATAAAAGGTGTTAATGAGTTAAATACTCGTTAAAAATATTTACTTTTGAAATTGAAGTCGTAGTGACGATCTTAACATTTAATTTTAATTTAGAATTGCAAACACGCCGCAACAGATTGTTCACGTGGCGCAATAACCTAGATCAAACATGAAATAGCGTTTTTCTTTTTGTACCTTTATAGTACATTAATAAAATCGATATATTTTCTTTACACGAAAGCGATGTCGCCGAAACCCAAGCAGATTTTTCCGAAGTCTTCCCAGACTGCGAAGGCGATGAAGAACGAAGCGGAGACTTCTACAATACTCCAGCATCACCAATAACAGTACCGTATTGCCCCAGGCCTCCTTCGACAGGTAACTTTTCGACTCATAAACTGAAAAAAATGCCTAAACCAAATTTCATTAGGCTCTCAAAAGTCACCAAGGTCCAGGCGGCAAAGAACAACTTCATTAAATCAATCATCTAAGAAATCAGCTGCTGAATCGATGATACGAACACAGCATCGCACTATCTACACAGCTGGTCGACCTCCATGGTATAATAGTGAAGGACAAAAAGTGGAACCATTAGTTATAGGTATTATTTTATACGTTGTTTAATATATATTTTTCTAAAACAATATCCATTCAGGGATTTGTGGTGGTAGTGCCTCTGGGAAAACAACAGTAGCAGAAAAAATCATTGAATCTCTAGGAGTACCATGGGTGACTCTACTCAGCATGGACTCATTTTACAAGGTTTTGAATGAAAAACAGCGTGAAATAGCAAACAGAAATGAATATAACTTTGATCATCCTGATGCCTTTGATTTTGATCTTTTGATCACCACTTTGCAGAGACTGAAAGAAGGAAGAAAGGTTGAAGTGCCAATATACAATTTTGTGACACATGCAAGGGAAAGCAGGACTGTGAGTTATTTCCTCTTGTAACAGAAAAAAATATATTTTTACTTGTTTCTTAGAAAACTATGTATGGGGCCAATGTAATAATATTCGAAGGAATTTTAACTTTTTATCATCCTAAAGTCCTGGCCATGTTAGACATGAAGTTGTTTGTTGATACTGACGCTGATGTGCGTCTGGTACGCAGATTGCGAAGAGATATAAGCCAAAGAGGTAGAGATCTAGATGGTGTACTTAAACAATACTGTGGTATGGTCCAACCATCATTTAACCATTACATTGCACCGTTGAAAGTACACGCTGATGTTATTGTACCCAGAGGTGGTGAAAATGAAGTTGCTATTCAGTTGATTGTTCAGCATGTCCACACACAATTGCAATTGGTAAATATATTTTACTTTTAAAGTGTTCTTAGCATTGCTGGATATTTTATCAGAGAGGATTCAAATTAAGAGAAGAATTAGCGCAAATACACGCTCATTCAGGACAACCAAGACCAGACACTGTAAAATTACTACCTACTACACCTCAGATACGAGGACTTCATACATTCATTAGGAATAAAGATACTCCAAGAGATGAATTCATTTTCTACAGCAAACGCCTGATTCGCCTTGTCATTGAATACACATTGTCGCTTATGAGGTTCAATGATAAAATTGTGGAAACACCTCAAGGGGTACAATATAAAGGTATATATACTTTTTAAAATGTGGACACCAAAAATATTTGAACTTGTATCAGATTCAACGAATTGTTTTCATTCATAGTAGTCGCCGCAGTTGAGGGGAAATGTTTTATTTATAGATTTAGGAGATATTTATTTTTGGACCAGTTTTTGGATCACAATGTACAATATAAAGAAGTTTAAAATAGATTCTTGGAAGTAATAAAAATCTCGCAGTGAGTCATAGGTTCAACAAATTTTCCATGTCGTTATTATTTGTAAATTTGTTAAGTTTAATAATTGCGCAGTTACGTCTGCAATGTCAGTTTAAGTAATTTTTATTAATTGTTGAATAATATACAGAGTTGGATGAAATTGGAACTAGCGAAATATTCAAAAGACATTTTCGCGATTTTCCACGTGCCTTAGAAAATTAGAAATCTATTAATGACAATACCTACATATTTACTTTTATAATTAAGGTCAGTTTCTTAACAGAATAGGTGGATTTTACTAAGTTGAACATGCTTATTCTAAATCAGCAATTAGTTTTTTCTGCCGCATTATCGAGATAAATGTCCGTTTAATTTGTCAATATTTATGAATAACTGATGACTGACTAATTGAATTTTATGTACACGTGAAGATGATAAATATTTTGAAAAAACTAGGTGCTAAAAGATCTAAATGTGGATTCGTAATCAGCAGAAAAAATTAGAATCGGAACGTGGATTTTTCTGATGGTTATAGAAAGTTTTATTTTGTAGACCAGCATTCTTAAAATAAGTTTTCTTTTATAGTCAACCAAAAAATAAATCAAATATTAGTGCTGTAGGTTACTAGAAAGCAGACACGTGGAAGATAAATTCTATTATTGTTGATGTTAAATTGAAAAGTTAAAATTAAAATCTCAGAACCCAACGACTGAATATTTCAAAAAAATTAATTTCAGATGCTCTAGTCTGAAATCAGGAGCTGCAAAACCAGTTTTTGGAATAATTCACTGGTTCTATTCTTTGTTGACCCTGCAGGATATAAAAATGCTGATTCTGTTTTAGGTAAGCGAATGGCAACTGATAAGATTTGTGGTGTGTCTATACTTCGAGCAGGTGAAACAATGGAACAAGCGGTTTGTGATGTTTGCAAAGACATTCGCATAGGAAAGATCTTAATTCAAACTAATTTACAAACAGGGGAACCAGAGGTATTTATTTGTCACTTATTGTGAATAATTTGAATCCTTGAATGATATGTTTCAGCTGTATTATTTAAGGCTTCCTAAAGACATTAAAGATTACAAAGTAATTTTAATGGATGCTACTGTAGCAACAGGAGCTGCAGCAATGATGGCCATAAGAGTTTTGCTAGACCATGATGTCCCAGAGAGTAATATTCTTATTGTGTCACTGTTAATGGCAGAATCTGGTGTGCATTCAATTGCATACGCCTTTCCTAAAGTTCAGATAGTTACAACTGCCATTGACCCTGAAATAAATGATAAATTTTATGTATTGCCAGGAATGGGAAATTTTGGAGATAGGTATTTTGGAACTGAACCATCTGATGAATTATAATATTCCAAATTTCCATTATGTAGTAAAACATCTTGCTGTAATGAGCACTAGAATAGTTGTTTTTCATTGTAAGATATATTATAAAATAGGTACACGTGTCAGGTACCCTCCAATTGCCACTGTGTGTGTAGAAGTATAGAGTGTGGTTCTGCCATAATTTAGTTAAAAATTGTTTTGTTTACTGAAATCGTAAATTATGAATAAAGCATGGTCAAGTTAAACGTATTTTTCGGAATTTGATACATCAAAAAAAAAATATTCGAACCGCACACTATTCGTACTTTTATACATAACAGAAACATACATACAAGTACTTAATGCTTATGAGGCTGTGTTAAATATGTAGTATTTTCTAGTTACCAAACTCAGGCGCAGTTCCTGAATCAGTCATTCATGTATAGCGTGTAAGATCACTTTTTTATTTAAACAATCGTCTCGCTAATTATTACTTAATATTTCTAAACTAAAATTATACTATATTTTTAGTGGTTGTTAAGGTTATTAAATTTGAAAATAACAGTTTCTTTTTTTAATAGCACAATTACAAAAGATAACATATTACATTGCAGCAGCATTCACATTTTTGGGAGCTCTAAAATCATATTTTTCAATATCTGGGTATTCTTCACAGATTAGTTTATAAGCATAGCAGATCCGCGCATATTCTTCATTTGTAAGTTCAAAAGGCCTAGTTCTTTGATCCACATCTGCTAAAGCAAATAGCTTAAGACCTACAATAAATATAATTGTTACAACTTCTTTACTTAAGTAAGTGCCAATTACCTAATTCATCTCGCAGGTTTTCTGGAAATAGTCGCGATCCTCCTTTTATAGCATATTTTTGTCTCATATTAAAAATAGTTCTTATAACTTTCTCAACCATTTTGAATTCTAACTTAACCAAAGGATATTTTAAAGGTGTAAATGTAACTACTCCAACATCTACATCAGGTTTAGGAAGGAACGCTTTCCCAGGTATTGTAAATTTATGATCAACATCACACCAAAACTGACACATTACAGACAAACGACAACGTTGTTCGTCAGTGACAGGGGCAACAATCCTTTCCGCTACTTCCTTCTGAAAAGTCAGAGTCATTGGTGTCCGCCCAAAACTCCAGGCTGAGCTTTTTTGAGAAATTTGATGAAGCCATCGAATAATCAAATTTGTTGATACACTGAAAGGTAAATTTCCAATCAAATGAATTGGAGGCGGTCTATCTGTCCATTCATTACACGAGGAATCAGCAAATCCAGCTTCAAAGTTATATGATCTAATGTCATTAATTTCTATCTCCATTTTTACATGGTTCTGGCTTGCCTCTTTCAATAATTCCAGCGTTGGTAGAAATCTGGGATCCTTTTCCACAACAATTAACTTTTTTGGTTGTCTTTTGATAATTGATCGTGTGATGCTTCCAGGCCCCGGGCCAACTTCCAAAACATGGTGGTTGTGTATTTTACCTGCTGCTTTAACAATTTTATCTGTAATACGTTCATCTAATAAAAAGTTTTGCGACAACTGGCGCAAAGCTCTCAGCTTATATAATTTAATAAGGTCTCTAACTGTAGGTAATGGTGGTAATCTAAGACTAGTTGCTACAGACATTACAGCTATTCTGTTGTTGTGGCTGGTATTTCAAAGTCGTCCAAGAAACTTTCTTGTCTTACGGAATATATTGAATAACCATAAATTCCCAAAACTGCCGTTCCTAGGAGGCCGACTGTAAGCAAATTTCTTCTACGCAATGCTTTCAGTTGTCTGACTCTTTCCAAATTCTGTCTTTCCACAATTTTAATAAGGTCGATTTCAGACTGTTTCAGTTTTGTCGGATCAATTTTTGGCATCCGTTCACTATCAGACATGGTAAATACTTGTTTTTAGAAACACCGCACGGGATATGTGTACATAACCTCAAAATTCTGTACGTCAGGAACTCAGAATTCTTAGAAATATTTTCTGTGTTTGTCACTAATGTCACTCAAGTCACAAGGTCACAATGCTACGTCACACAAAAAAACAATTTTTTGTGTTACGACCAACCAGGGTACCATAGCATACAACGACCAACGAAAACGTAACATTATACAATATTTTTGAAATTTAATTCACAAAAAGTTGTTTGTGGTATTATTTCTTATTTCGGTACCCCATTACAATAAGAGTTGTTCCGTTAAAAAATATTATCTCCCAATTTACGACGAAAAGTGGCAAAAATATGGCTTAAAATCCGACTGTTTCAAGAATTCTCGGGGCTTAACAGAGCTGGAAATACTGCCGCGGTACATAGATTCCTCATAGATTAATTAAGGACAATACATTGTATGCAGAGACTTTAATACATAGACTGGCTGTGTCAGGAAAAACGTGAAGTTTTTCGACCGCCATATTGCTTATAACCGTAAGTGCGCGAAATTTGAATTTTCCGGTCACAAAATGCAATTTAAAATGTTAAATAAAAAAGACAACAAATTGTAATTATTTATTTAGCATAATAATATCTATATGTATATGTAAATTCCTTTAAAAATATTAATGTCCTTGAAACAAAATTAATTTCGTGAATTTTTGTCTTAAAGAGATAGCTTTTTCACGCTCAGTACTTAAGCGGCACTCATAACCTATTCCGAGAGTCAAATAATTTCTCAAAATTAATTTAAGCAATAAATTAAAATAAGAATTTTTTACGTCCAACTAATCCATGTTCATTATGTAGAAAAAAAATGTATGGTCCTACTTTGCAAAGTTAAGGTAAACATTTTAGTTACCAAATCATTTTTAATGGCCATATTTACAAACAATCTCGTAAGTCCCGACACACAACCACTTTTATTTCGAGGTCTAGAAACGTTCTGTGCTAGACTACTACTGCTAACCACCACAACCTCACTTAATTTGACATAAAAGTTATAGCAATGGCGTCCATACTACCATGCGCCGTGGCTTCACCAAAATGCATTAAAAATGTTACTAACAGCCAGTCTATGTATTTAAAGTCTCTGATTGTATGCAATGAACTTAACAACAAATTCTTAAAACAAACAAATACAGTGCCATTTTATCTTTGCTGATTCTCATGAATCATTAGAGCAAAAGAAACCATTGAAAATATTAAAAACAGTAACAAAGCAATGAACATTAGTTTTACAATATGTAATTTGGAACTCATTATGGACACTAGGATCAAGTAGTGATATGATATAATTTTTATAATTGATTGTATGTACTACTTATTATTATAAATGAGATTGTGGTATGCTGACCACGGGCGTATGACTTTAAAAATTAAATTTCGCGCTGTAAAAACAAAGTCGCTACGCTACACATAAAAAATTTAAAATAAAAAATCGTTCCGTAATGTAGGCTACCAATGTGGGCGGGGCTAGTTCCTGCTAAGATACGACTGATTTTGGCAAATCAGATCCCTCTATGGAATCTTTGGAATTTGTAGAATCTCTGGAACTTTTGGAATCCTTATAATCTTCGGCATCTTCAATGTCTTTAGAATTTCTGGAATTTGCGATCTTCCAAATATTCAGAATCTTTGAATTCTTTGGATTCTTCATAATCTTTAGACTCTTTGAAATCTCCAAAGTCTTTGGAATCTTCGGAATCTTCACTGTCTGTACAATTTTTGGTACCTTCAGTCTTCGAAATATCCAGAATCTTCAGAAAGTTTAGAATTTCTGGAATCTCAAGTCTTATATCTGAAATCGTTGGAATCTTTAGTTGTTGAAATATTTAGAATCTCTGCAATTTCTTAGAGTCTTAGGCTATCCGAAATCTTTGGAGTTTATATTGGAAGCCTTTAGAATCTTTATAATTTTCAAAATGTTCAGAATTTTTGGAATTTCTGAAATCTCAAGGGTCTAGAAATCTTTGCAGCCTTTAAATTAAAATCTTTGAAATATTTATAATCTTCGGAATTTTCAATGTCTTCAGAATTCTCGGAATTCAAGAAAAGAGAGGGCGGGTGGGTGGGGTTATCCTCTAAGCTTATATTTTGTCTTTTTGTTTTAAAATGTGTACACCTCTTTTCACAACATAAAATTTAAAATGTTTAAAATGGAGAATTTTTATAAAGAAATATCGATTTTGCAATTAGGCTCCGACCCATAATTGCAAAATCTATATTTCCTAGCAAAAATGTACCATTTTAGCCATGTTTTAAGTTTCTTGTTGTGAAAAGATGGCTATGAATATTAAGAAAAAACAGGAAAAAAGTAAACCCCGCCCACCCGCCCTATCTCAATTGTGATGAAATTTTTATTCGTCGTGAGCCAAAGGGGCGGAGCTTAACCGCAAAATCCTGATTTCCCTACAAGTAACAGAAACATGTTTTTGAGATCGTGTTCAGATTTTCCAGATTAACCCAATTTTTCAGATTTTCCAAAGTACACAAAATAACTAGAATTCCCACATTTTCCAAAATTTCTAAAATTATCAGGCTCGGATTTTAGGGTAAGGTGACTGGAATGCAGGACGGTGCACGCAGGTAGAATTCAAAAACGTCAGTGTCACTGGTTATTGTTTTGTCCTGTTAGTGAAACGATGTTTTTAAAAATATGGTAATTGTTTAATCAAAAATGAATCGCATTGGAAGTCACAGTCCTCAACAAGTGTAATTAGTGTAAAATCAGTGTATTAATAATTGTCTAATCTGAAATGTGTAAAACTGTTACATCAATAACATGTGTAATTTTGGTTTTATTGTTTATGTTAAGATTTTTAACTGTTAATAGTTCTTCACTTGGTTCAAGATAATTAAATCAGGTTCTCATAGATAGTGAAAATCAATGGGAGTAAGACGTTCATGTGATGGTCATTTGTTTTATTTTTATTTTTTAACAAATTGTAAATAATACAATTTAAATACTATAAAGTAAATGTTCGTATAAAACACGTGACAGGAAATCCACTTATTTAAACCCGATTTATTTTTTGTAATGATCTGTTGTACAGTTCTAGATGTTTTTATTTAAGTTATTACATTATAACACACTTTATTCTAGTTTGTTTTCACTCAGCTTGCTTTTCTGACTCAACTGCCATAATTTAAATTTGCCGCCACACCAGATTTCTCTTTTATATGTGTTTAAATATGTGATAATCAAATATTAGCATTTTTGTATTTAATTTCCAAATTTTCCCTCCATATTGTGATAACCCAAACCTCCCGCCTTAAATTGCCATGTGAAAAAAAATTGAAAAGCCCGCGAAAAATTCAAAAATTTGGTCTTGACTGTGATCGTGTAACAAAATGAAACTCTAGATATTGTGTTTGTTTTTTTTTTCTGGCGGAATGCGTTCAGATGCAAGTGGTGGACCCCAAGGTTGGAAAAGTACCGCTAATTAAAACACAAAATATATGGAGGCCACAAAATCATTTATTCCTCCAATGACAAAAAAAAAGAAGACACCTGTTAATGCTCAGCTACAAAAAAAAACTTGCCTAACTTTGGATGAAATCAAATTAAACGTTCTAAATCAATACAAATATTTGAAAATCAGAATCTAATAAAAGGAAAGAAAAATCAGAATTAAAGTAACGGCATCAGAGTGTGGCGATCGAATTGTATCAATTTCATTCTAGAGCACAGCAAAATTACCCATAGGGGGCGTTGTAGCACGAGCGGAGTTCGGGGCTCCTGGTTGTGGCTGTTCTCCCACCACGACGGTGATTCTATTCTATCGACAAGCACTGCCGTACAGCACCCCTCCATTACGAACATGCCGTACGAGCAAGCCGTTACGGTCGCAAACTCGTGGTTGGGTCCCGGCTATTGGGCCAAGCCGACAGCGTCATGTCATCTCGACCGCCCCTGACTTCTATACTAGGTTTGCGTCCTTTGTGCAGATGGCGCGATAAATCCCGCCAGCTCGACTAGGAACCGCGCCCTTCGCTTCTGCCACGTGTTTCTGTATTAGTTACCTCAATTCCATTTTAAATGTTCACTTTCTATTACTCTGATTTTAAACTACAACCGAAAAAGTGTTGACGTTTCAAAACAGCAATAAACAACATTTAAATTCGCCATACACTTTCGTGAAATTTGAAACAGCAAAGAATTCTTATCTGAAATTAAGATTGGACATCAGACAATTTATATGATGGAAGAATTAATCAACAAAATGTTTACGTGGTCAAAAACTAGCAAAGATAAAAAAAAACAAAAAAAAGATCTGCTGTGAAGTAAAACTTGTGCAGGCAAGAATATTAAGTGAGGTTAGGAACTTGGAAATTTATGTACAATTTAAATTATACAGAAAAGAAAATTACTGAGGCTAAAATTGTGAGATAGAGAAAAATTGTAAGAGGTGAAAAAATTACATGAGTTTAATATTTGCCACACTATCAACGATTCAAACAAAGAATTTACATGATGTGAAATTATACCATGATCCAATAAGTGACTGGTTACTGAAAACAATTAGAGAGTTTATATCGTGGACTATCCCCAGCTTATCCCAAACAAACACATGGTAAATACACAAAATACATCCAGCGTCGCGAGAAATAAATATGTCTCGGTGAGTTGATGATGATATTGATAACTGCCTAAGGGGAAAAATTTAATCCCCCCGACCCTCAGTCCACGGTATTATGAATTCTACCGGACTTTCACGGTCCTTTTCCCAGAGTCAGACAACACTAGGTTGATTTAACTGCCGTAAATGAATTATTAACAATCTTGTGTGAGGGATTAAGGAGTGTTATAATGTAAAACTTAAGCATAAGCATCCAGAAACATTATTTATAACTTAATAAACAGAGTATAAGTCCTGACTAAGTGAATTTCATGAAATCTCCTAGCAAGTGTTGTATCTAAACAATCTCAGGACCGTTAAATTGTGTTAGAACTAGTTAACGATTAAAATCCTAACATCAACTGTGAACAATAAAACAAATTTACATCATGTGTTAGCGTCGGTCGAAAATTCGCATATTTCCGTTTGGAAAAAACCGCAAGAATTAGCTACGCTTGTTGAGGAAACTGTGGCATCGCAATCGGTTCAATTAATTGTCGTTAAACAAAGGCTTCCCCCTTTTTATTTAACTGCCAAATCAAATAAACTTAATGTAACTTCCTTACCGCATGCTTTCATTCACCAAACCAAAACAGTGACGCGCAACCTACCCTCTACCTACAAATTCCCTAGCAGAACAACCAACTACCAGAAAAGAACTAAATTTGCACATGGTTGCCTATGTTTAACGTTTTTCTTGATCTGTTTTTTTTTTTTAATTCAAATTTAAATGCGATTTCGCGCCGCAGTTTTTTTTAGCGCGAAATTTTAATTCAAATCTGGTCAGCACAATATGTTTTTTCCAACCTAGGGGTATAGCGGTATGGCATTCCGCCATAAAAAACGGACTACAGTTCCACTTTGCTGTCGATTAGACGCACTCTAGCAAATGATAGCTATTTACAAATTTTAAGGAACCTTTATTGTAGAAATTTAATATCAAATAGTGTAGACAACATAAAGTTTATATACAATTAATTAAAATATATAAAATTCAGATACATCAGATGGATTAACGTGTACAAACTGAGAAACGTGAAATCAGGTCACAATCAATCAAAAAGTAAATTTGAATAAATTTTTAATAAATAAATTACATTTGTAATCATATAAAATTTACACGTAAAAAGTCTAGTCATTACACACTCCAAAATAACGAAACAAGCAGAAATACATTAAAAATCAATTAAATGTATTTATAGTGTATCACAGAACTATCAAAAAGTACTTGCAGATGTTATAACACTTAAAATGTGAAAGTACATGGGCACTTGCGAGTGCTATTTAAACATTTACACACATTGTCTACTTAATACATTTAGCAGCACAACATAAATAGTGAAGCTCAATCATAACATCATTCCATAAAGGTGTATAGAGTTTACAATAACTACAGAGTCTCCAATATTTGTGTTTTCTACGTTGTGTGAAATGCCACAAAATACAGAGGAATGGCGCAAAATTCAGAGTATAAAAGTGTTGATATATAAATTCACACACTAATTTGTAACTCTAATGTTAACTACTACTGAATAGTTGGAACAACCAAAATTAACTAGTTTCTTGATATAACATGTAGTACAACCTCCTGTCATGAACAACAGCATCAATAATAAAAAATTTATTTAATCACTTTATATGAATGTTTGAAGTAAAATTAAGGTAAGCATCCAGTTACCGGCACTAGTCGCATAATATTACTCACTGATTATTCAAAGTATTCAAAGTAACGAACGCACTCATATTTAAAGTAATGTCGCTAAGTATAGATTTTAAATTTCACAATCGTGGTCACTGGTAATGTAAAAATTTCAACCACGAAATCCAATTGTTGCGTCACATGATGATAAGTGGACGCCCACTTTTAAAGAACAGAAAAGAATAAAAAAATATTGGTTACTGCTCCACTATCTTTATAATGTAATAATTCAAATATTAAGTATAAGCAGTGTAAATTTTACTAAAACAACAGAAAAAAAAGTAAAAATGGTAAAAAAAGTCCTACACTTGTCTGTATATCATATTAGCTGCATTAAATTATAAGTTGGTCCATTAAAATGTGCAAATCATTGTCTGAAAAACTTGGTGCTAATCTGCTAAAATAACTTACGTTGTAGTACAAATACACATCTTGCAAAGTTTATTTTCAAAAGCTAACACACATACTACTTGACTATTCTACATTAAATTAAGATTGCTAATTTTTATTATTATGTATTTTATCAAGAATAGCAATCTTGAAACATTTCGTGATGTTTACTGGGCAATTAACAGCTTTTAAGTCATAAATACTTTTCATCACTCGCAATTTATTTTAAAATTACGCCAATAAGTTTCTTTCCAAACACACTTGGTTTTTCTTACTTTTGAATTTCTAGAATAGTCTCTAATTAGAGAGAAACCCTGCAATACCATTGCACAAATAAAATGTAATAAATACTTTTGGAAAATGTTAATCATTCTGTTGTAAGAAAATACTGAAATATAACGGTGACAGTATCACTTTGTCAAAAAACAACAAAAACTAAACAAAGATGTGTAAATAAGTCTATTGTTATTTGTGTCAATTGAGAAAAAATATCTTTGCACATTCTAAGGGGGCCGATCTAAAGGGGGAAAAGTTGAAGAAGCAGCTAATAGCAGCGGGACTTCGCCCCAGGCCCCCCCTTATGTCATACATATTCCAGCGGAGATCGTTTACCTTTTCCTCGTTGTTCAAGACATCTTTCCACCAACTTCTTAACTTCAGAAATTATCCACACAGAGGATGTTAATGTCGTCAAAAATATCATATCTGAAAAAAGAACGTAGTAGTTTCGATGATTATGAATTTTAAAATGTAGTATACCCCACAAAGTTAGAGCTTCCGTCTGGAAAACCCGCTGCAAAGGTGGAAAATATACAACCAATAACTGACCAACAACTGACAACGTCACGGCAAGCAGGAACATTTTATTTGAGAAAAATCCTATTTGAAAAACACTCTTGGTCTGAGAGCGACAAGACAAAGCATTCCACATGTCAAAGAAAACGAAACAAGTGAAAGTCATTGTTGTGTCTCTTGCTGTTATTCCCTCAGAACTCATCTAAAAGATAAATTAGTTAAAGACAGCACGTACATAATAAATTGTAACTAATTAATTTTTGTCTTTGTCCGACACTAACGAAAAATAAAACAGCCGCATCTACGGATTACATATAAAATTATCTTTCTTTCAAACAAAGTCTCACAAAATTCATTGCTCAAAACATTAAAATCGTGAGCGAATTTTCGATAATAAATGCTAACTTTTTTCTATGATTAGTGAAGGTAACAATGCGAAAAGTGAAAACTAGAATTATAGCTAACATTTTAAGGTTTTACTTTTCGCCAAAATTTTGCAGTCAGTTTGTAAATCTTCGTCTAGGCAATATTTTGCCAATTTTAAAGTTTAATTACTTCTCAAAAAATTTTATTGCCATCGCCAATTTATTAGTAATGCGTAATGTGACAGTAATAACAATGTATTGTATTCAAGGCTACCTTAGCACAGATATAACCCACGTGTCGCTATGTCATTTTGGAATTAAACTTAGTAAACTTACATAATATTTCTATTTTTAGTCATGGTTTATTCTAGCTTAGATTGGCAATGCATAAACACCATTAGCAACACATCGAGTTCTTGAAAAATTAGTACATACTACGGATGTTGTATTAAGTATACAACGTCCTTGGTCAGGGTGTAAATATTATGCAATTTACCACAAAGTGTTTGTCGTTGCGAATTTATTGCAGTTAAAATCTATTTTTGTTTATTAAAATTTCATTGTAAGCTGCAACTTTCTTTGAAGTTTCATATTTTTTAAAGTTACATTTTTGTGCTGTTTATCGGTCATATTTCAGAATCTACTTGAAGTTTTACCTTAATGTTTATAATTTCTGTCCAAAAAAGTTTTTGTTCTTATTGAAAATTTTGAAATTGATCTGCGACAAAGTGGTAGTTAATGTCTTGCCTAAAACAATGGATAAATGGGACATATTTTAATTAATATGTCGCGTACAAAATATCGCTAGTTTAATTTTTTTTACTTCAAACATGGAAATATCTACTCGTTCTTTTAAAAATTATTTTAGAGTCTAATAATAATAATAATAATAATAAAAGTTGATATTTGGATATGATCGGTGCAGGAAAGAAAGTTTTTTAAATTTAAAAGCGCTAGTACAACAAAAATTTCATTTTCAGAATTAGTATTGTCTACACATACCTCTTTTTTGAAAACCCACAAAGTTCCTGCAATTATGAACAACGCAGATAAAAGGACATTGCCAATTAATTTTTTAGTTATCATGGGTTCTTTAGTATTTCGAGGTTTCTGTTTTACGACATCTTTTTCAACAGGTTCCACACCTAAACTCTGAGCTGGTGGGCCGTCCATTATTATATTTATCCATAAAATCTGCAATTGAAAATTAAGATATTATATTTGATTTTTGTAACACAAGGCAAAGTATATTTATTTATATGTATATGAAATATCTTACTTGCATAGCATTCAGAGGATTAGGAATTCCCATTAAAGTAGCTAATGCTATTAAAGATAAAGCCGCAATAGATGTTGATAACTGAAATCTGACGAAATTTCTAATATTATAAAATATGCTCTTTCCCTCTTCAATGGCGGCTCTATAAATAACAATTAAATTTACAAGTCAAGAGCACGAACAGATACTTACATGATGGTATAAAAATCATCATCAACAAGGATCATATCAGCGGCTTCTTTACATACATCTGTGCCATTTTTACCCATGGCAATTCCAATATCGGCTTTTTTAAGAGCAACTCCATCATTAACTCCGTCGCCTGTCATGCCTACAATATGACCAGTCCGCTGAAGTGATTTTACAATCGCTAGTTTATTTTTAGGTGACACTCTATAAAATACAGTGGCATGAGGTACAGCAGCATCTAATTCCGTTTCACTGAAAGTGTCCAACTGTTCACCCGATAATACTTGTGATGGTAAAGTTTCCAACCCTATCGTTTGTGCTGGAAAATTCCACCATGAAGAACAAACAACAAAAGAAAAACAATCACGAACCAATAGCCACAGCTGTATCCTCAGCATCTCCAGTGACCATTTTCACTTGTACACCAGACTGCGATAAAGTGGTGATCGCTTCTCGCACCAGAGGTCGTGGTGGATCGCAAATTCCTACTATACCCATGTACGTCAAATCCTGCAAAGTCGGACCTCTAGCCATTGCTATCACCCTCAACCCTTTCCTGCCTATTTCATGGGCCTCTGCTATAAAATCTTGTTCCTTTTTACTTGTGAGAGTTTGTAGTCCTCCATTCCAACTAAATTTAGTACACTTTGGTAAGATTTTTTCTATCGCTCCTTTCACAAAAAATAATTCTGCTTTGTCGTTATCATATTTTGATATACATTTTACGGCCATCATTTTCTGTTCGGAAGTAAATGGGTATTCTTGCAAACGAATGTATCGATCTGGAACGTTATACATTCCATGTTTCATTGCAGCGGCTATTAGGGCACCCTCTGTCGGCTGACCCAAAAGTGTTTCGTTATGAATCACTGCATTATTACAAACCGTTCCCACCTAATGTTTAATTGTAATTAGCCGTTTAAGCCACTACATACTTATTTAACATACCTCTAACAACTTATATACACTATCTCTGGCTCTATCTGAAGAATCACATTTGTGTAGTAAGACTTGACCATGGTCATTGTAGCCAGCTCCTGTTAATTCAGCAATATAACCATCTGCTGTGACCAATACTGTGACGGTCATTTCATTTCTCGTAATAGTGCCAGTTTTATCGGAACATATCACATTTACACAACCCAGGGTTTCTACCGTTGGTAACTTCTTTACTATAGCGTTTCGTTTTGCCATTCGCATTACACCCAACGCCAATGTTACAGTAACAACTATAGGTAATCCTACAAAATACACAGGATTTGAATTATTTATTTAGATACAATGACTATATTCTTCACTATTATCGGAACATGCACTAAGGTAAATGACACTTTGAGTAATTCTGATTTCAATTTCAAATTAACAAACTAAAATAATAGATGTAAGTAGTCTTGCTTCTTGTTAAACGACAAAAGCTTAAAAGTTTTCAGATTTCTAAAAATCAATAAAAATATTCATGATGTTCCTACATACGAATATGACTTGTGTCGAGAAGCTTCTTTTTACTGTGTCATTTCCAACAAAAAAAAATCGACAATGCATTTCGAACGATTTCTAGAGTTTTGTAAACGGAAAACAGTCGTGAAAATGGCGTTCCGAAAATTTCATATTCACCTTCTCTTCCTCACATTCTATTGTGGTCAGGTTATATGTATTTTAAATTTCATAACAATAAGTCTGAAAAAAAAAACGTAGCCACTTCTCTTAATGTGTTTTTCATTAAATTTTTTTAATAAACTATTTATACAAAATAAAAAAGAAAGTTAAATTCCAATAATCTCATGTAAAAAATGTCCTACAATAATTCACATCCCATACAAAATAAATATTCGTAATAAGAACTTAAAATCGCGATATAATCCATAGGCGTCGTACTTTGAGTTGCAAACCTCATGGGTGAGCCTTTACGTTGACAATTATTGTTCTGAAAATTTGCCTTACCGCCACAATTGAAATAAACTTATAAGTGTGGGGAAACCAACGACTGTCTACAATACCGCCAAAGCACGAAGAAGTAAAGAAATACTTTTTGCGTGAAACTAGTGAAAAATGTGACTTTTAAGACAATATTACCACTGCAAATTTTTTCTATGAATCTCCACTTTCAAACATTCTTATTTCTAGCATATCCAGGGCAATGACAGTATATATGATTCACCTAGATAACGAATTAATAATAAATGGACGAAAGATCGATAGATACGCAAATTATTACGAAAAATGTTTCTCTTTTGTAGCGCGTGTAAGTTTTTATGCATTTTACTGAGGTCCATAAAACATTCAATACAATTGCGCGAAGTTACTTGTTTTTTCATTTTATCGAGCTGAATCACTGATTTTTTTTAAAGCGACGTAGTTTCTCACTTGGTTCGTGTAAAAGAATGCTTGATGTATTATTATTTATAGTAATGTAACTCACACAAATGTAATGCTTGAATTTATCATCATCAAATCCAATAAACACTTTTTAACAAGGTTTTGTGTATGATGAACCGTCTTGGTTTATTAATATCGTAAAAAATTTCTGTTACAAACAATAAGAAAATTTGTTACGATTGACTTTAAATGTAGGTTTTTCCACTGTTATGAAACGATTTTCAAAAAAAAACCTATAAAACTCAACTTGAAACAATTTGCATGATGTTATTCACAGGTATTAAATGTATTCAGATATTCAGTTTCGTTAATTGATCTTAATAATGTTTTAGAAACTAAACCTTTTCATAAACAGGTACCACAAGAATTTATATACGATACGCAGAAAAAATTTTCTGATAACAAATTTCCTCTTTATCCGTTACTTTAAAACTAACAACTTCAGTTATAATCAAACACTTTAAAAAACTTTGATATTAATTTGCGTCATATACGTAAGTATTATCAATGTAGACAATCGACTTCGCTTTTAGTAAGTGCACGGTTATTATAATTAGTAATGTATCAAAAAACAGAAATTCAGCACGTTGCTGATAAAAAGTATATAGCTTTGATAATGGCAAGTAGCGGCATTTACAATACCTTACGAAAGTAACCGCTGTTTATTTTTGAACAACTGTGACTAAGCTAGAATGTTATAACTAAGCTAAAGCTTGACGTTTCAAGGCCCTGCTTTTCAAAATTTCAGTTCATTTAAGTAGTTAAAAATAATTAACAATGTCAAGTATCAAGTATTAAAATAAGACTGTTCTGACTTATGAGTTCAAATGAAATTAACATTTTTTTTTTGTTTTATAAAAGTAAATACAATGTAAGATTTTAAATTCTTATTTAAACGCTGTACGTTATATTTATTATTATTATTTAAGTACTGTTATTCGCACAGAAGTGTCAAATATTAAGCAGCATTTTGATTTATTATTATTGCAGAGAAATTTGAATAAAAAAATCACGTTTTAATATTGCTTTAAAATTGCATTACGTGTTTAAACCATCTTTAAACAATGTTTCTTCTGATGATATGCAAATTATTAGAGTTAACCTAATAAGTTTCTTTTGTCACATATGCAGAGAAAGTGCATTTTTTAAGTATTTTATTTAACTCACCTTCAGGGATCGCTGCCACTGCTAAACTTACTCCTATGGTAAACATTTCCATTATTGCTTTTCCTTGCAACCATCCAACTAGCATTATTAAACCTATAATTCCAAACGAATAAATCGACAACTGAGCACCCAAACTATCCATTGACTTTTGAAGAGGTGTTTTGGGAGCTTCTTCTTCCAACATCATCTTGAAAACCGAACCAAACTCACTGTTGACTCCGGTACTAACAACAAGACCCTGTCAACAAAAGACGCTTGAAAAAAAAGATACAATTAAATTAAAAAACTATACTTTTCCATTCCCACAACGAACGAGGGTTCCCATAAATGCTATATTAGTATTAGAAGAATGAGCTCCATTTGGACGTAACACTGAACCAACACTCTTTCTTGCTGGTTCTGTTTCACCTGTAAAGCTGCTTTCATCGATGGTTAAATCGACAGATTCAAATAAGCGCAAATCAGCGGGCACTCGATCGCCAACATTTAAATACACAACATCACCCGGTACCAACTCTCGTGCTAGAAACGTATCTGGTGAACCCTCTCTTAAACTAAAATTAAGAAATCGAAATATAAGAACAAATAAACATAGCGTTTGAAGAAAATGGACTGAACACTTAATAAGTCGTTGTAATCTTTTAAATAGATAAACAAGAAACAAATGTGTGATGGTCATAAATAGAGAAGACAAAGGAACAAATTATCATTAAGATTAACAACAGTATTTGCAATTCGCAATGCCAATATCATTGCTCAATTGTCTCATGGTACATGTAGGTGAATTATATACAGAGTGGCCTTATATTTTGAGAACGGATAGAAATATTGAAACTCTAGAAACGCCATTGTTTCTAACTTGAAAGAGGAAGCCTAATTTAGTAAATAGCAAATATGACGCATGTATGACGTAGCGCGAAATGAACTAATAAGTTTAGTGTTCAGTGTGAAATACAACAGTTCGAATATATGCTTAAATGTTTTTGAATAGATCTCACTAGTTGTTTGTAAAATAAAATATGTAATTATTTCACTCAACTTCACTTTTTTATTTAATTTTTTATCAACTGAAAATGAGATAAACACCGAACAGACGTTATATTGCATTTCTTTATACTAAATTGAGCTCCCAACCTCAAACTAAAAACAATGGCGTTTATAGAATTTCAATATCCCTATTCGTTTTCAAGATTGACCTAAGTAACACGAAATAAAAGTTTAAGTATAATTATGTTCTCAAAATCGAAACAGTACGTGCTTTTCCAGTGTCATCTTTTACTTTCTCTAATGATATCTGGAAAAAAATTACATATATTTTTTTCAAGCAGCGCTTTCAAATTTAAATATAGCAATTTCTGACCGACATAACACAAAACAGTGGAATTCTTACTGAGATACATTCGTTACTCATTTAATTATCTTTCCACTAATAAAAACTGAACGATAGTAAACTGAATAGACATTTACTATCACGATTTCCCTAAACTGCATTTTAAAATAAAGCATTTTCAATATTTTCTACGTACTTTAATAACATTATTTAAACATACCAGTGACAAGATGGTGGCACAAGTTTAGTAAGCTCTTGTAGAGATTTTTCGGACCGATATTCTTGAACAAAAGCTACTGTGACAACGATAACTATAGCTACAGTAATACTGATTGCATCATCAAATTGTTTCATACACACTGACACAAGTGCTGAAGCTAAAAGAAGTAATATGAGAGGGTTCCTGAATTGTTCTAAATATTTTTTCCAAGGGGGGTCGTCGTCTTTTACTGAAAAATCATTATATCTGTAAACAAACCATGTTACTCTTTACCAATATCATTTCTCTGCGACGACAAACCCAGCTATCTGTCTTCTGTGGGTTGCTTCTTGCCAACTTAACCCATGGCTTAAGTCTACGTGGAGTCTATCGGCGACATCTTCATAACGCAGACTACTGGCTTCGCCCGCAGTCAGCCACATCGCAGGCCCACTGGCCTGTTCCTGGAAAAAATGTTGATTAATTTTTAAAAGTTACATAGACGAGAAATTATTCTTAGATATAAAAATTTATTTGAAACAGTTCGGCAATTGTATACAGACTTCCGAAAGTCATGCATTTCATTTGAAATCATGTCCCTAAGTTTTAGCTAATTGTTGCAGACCTAGAAACTAAAAGTAAGTAAACTATGAATGGTACCATTTAAAATGGTGATAAGGATGTTAACCACAGATTACTCAGAATTCATAAAATTCAGTGTTGATTACGTGTTTACATGGTGTGAAACAGTATTTCTCAATTTTTCTAATGCTATGTAAATACCATACTTGCAATACTAAATGACTTTACAAGAGCATCAAATCTTACCACATATATATACTACAAATTAAAAAATCCATTCATACTTGCAAATAGCGTTTCATTCACTTAACTTATTACTCTTTTTAATATCTAATAAAAATACTTAAATGTAAATGTAGGTTAATTATTGTTGTCTTATCTTTGACCTGTATCGGAAAAAGCATACCACAAAAAATTAAAACCACAAAGTACGGTTTTTTTGTGCTTTTAAAACTTCAAATTAAGAAAAAATTATCCTAGAATAAATCTGATGTTACCACTTATTTTTACTTAATATACTCCAATAGTACTATTTTTTATTGTTATTATGCTTGCTATCTAAATCAAGTTGCTGGTATCTAACGTTGAATCAATACAGTGCGTTATCAGTTTACCCAAGTTTTTATTATTATTTAATTAAGTTTTATTTACTATTTTTCCATCAACGGAAAATGTCTTTAAACATGGTTGCCATTGTAACTTTTTTTCCCGCAGAACAAGTCTATATTGAAGATGCATATTTTGAAACAACTTAAGGCAAATATAATGCATATTACGGTATTTTTAAATGTAGTTTAAATCAAAATAAATTGAACACTGACTAGAAAAAAATATTTCCAACGCTGATTTCCTGTTTCCGTCTGCTTGTCAATCATTTCTCCTCTGTGTCAATTTTCTTAGACAGGATTACCATGTAGATGGTAAAACGGTCACAACAAAACATTAATTAAAAATATAAAACAAACTTTGTAAACATAAATAATATTATTACTAGCAACATAAATAAAAATAAATTCTCTTTATTGCTTAAAACTCACAGAAACACGATTCAAATATAACATAGAGTCGTATACTAGTGAATGTGTGCTAAAATGCGTGGAAAATGAAAATTAAAATAATTCAATACAGTATAAAGCGTTATTAAAAACTGAATAAACGTAATAAAACTCCAACTTTTTTCATTTTTCTTGCTACTTTTTGAGTTATAATTCCAAATAATTGGAAACCTAAAAAAATGTAAAAATCATTGATTTTTCTGTTTTTTTTTAATCCGATTTTTCTCTAGCACTGTAGACTACTAGTTAATTTTCTGATACTATTAAAAATATTCAAATTTTAAATTTTAATACCCTGACAATTTTTCTTTCCAAATTAATAAAATTTGATCTATAGTTAGTTACACTTTCCTCGCCACCGAAGCACAACCAATTCAGATTAAAGTATATCAAGATTTATTTAGCAATTTTCGGTAAGTTTAAAAACACCAATTTTAAGATGAATAATGTAGTTCATATTTATTATCAAGTGCACTGTCTTCCGAGTTTCGAAAAAAATAAATTGATTAGTTATGAATTCGTAGAAGAAAAAAAAGTGGAAATGCCGGAGATAGAAACCAGAACGCGTTCGTAAAACGATACGATAATAAAACCATAATAACAAAAATATTTTAGTCGATGTCATTAGATCAGTGTTTAATGGTTAGCCAAAATTCTAAATTGCGTTGCGTAAGTGCTAAAACAAATTATAAAATTTAATTTTACAAATTTCACTTTCTGTATATATAATCAGTATGCGCAAACTTTAAAATATGGATAAATTATACACCACAGTAAAGGAGCGTGTTACAATATAAATTCCAATCGAGATTTACTTAACAAATTATGAAAAGATATCATCTCAAATCAAGCTATCTCTCTAATAAAATCGCCAACAGACGTCAAACAAATGATTAGATGACAGATAGAAAATCAATTAAACATCACTGATTAAACTTTATTTATTCATTCTCCATGGAAAGTTGATAACGTTCTCTCAAATATCTCAGAAAAAAATTGGACGACAATTATTTGGACATAACTCTTGCCCCTGGAGTTGTATTGTACTTCCACGTCCAGTTTTTTCGAAAAATTATAAGATTTGATTTTATGAATTTTATTTTTTATTTGCCTGATTTTTAAAAGTGTATAGCATTTTCAGACAACGATGTCACGTAATTTATTATAGATTTTAGATTAAAACGCAGACATTAATGAACAAGTTTCGTCGGGTTGACTGGTTACTTTAATTTTATCAGTACTTCAATTATTACCTACTATTATTAGAATTACCATTCCGAAAGAATTAATCTTCTCAAATGCATTATATTAACAGAAAAAAGTCAACGTGTAGGTAACTAAAAAATGTTGGTGATCGCCCGGATCATTAGTCGAAACACAGAGAATATCTGACCCCCGAGATCTTGTGAATTGAAGCCCCATCAAGAATTTAATTTAATTTATTTAGTATACAATAATTAATCTTGTATCAATGTTGCTTGTAACTTTACACTTATTTCTTGGTGTATATTGTAAATGCAAAAAACAAATAAAAATCATAAGAAATTGTACCAGAAAAATAACACACACACACACACACACTGAGAATTGATTTAAATAGCAAACACTGTACATATATTTCTTAAAGGTTTGTCTAATTAAATTGCTATAGAATTAAAAGCCGATTACTTGATAATGTTCTTCTTTCTAAAACCCAGTGAAGCATATCAACGTAATATTATGTTTCGACAATAAAAAGAAACACAAGGTTACAAGGCTCTGAAATAAAATATTTGACAAATGAGATAAAATTACTACAAAAATTTGCATCGCTAAGTATATTACAACAAGCGAATTACATAAATTCGTGTAATATTTCCTAAAACTGTGATTACTGGAACAGCAAAGGACCTACGCCAAACTAACAAGTAAAAACTGAAATTAATTAGAAACTTCCGTTTAAAATTAGCTATGAAAAAGTAGTTCCTGGAAATAACAACGCAAATCTATTGTTTATGCACAGTGTTAAAAATGGTGAACCTTATATCTCAACGATATTGCAAAACCAAAACATGTTCAAGCCACATGCTCCCAAAGTAATCGTGTTCAAAGCTAGATGCATCCTACTTTACAGATATGTTGCACTAGACATAATCTTAGTGTGCACACTCAAAGACCACACAAAATTTTTTTTTAATGACAAATTTATTTACATCTATAACCAATAATTTGACACTTACTTCTTTCTTTTTTCCCTTAGAGCAAAAAGTTAATTTCACAAAAAACTTTAACATTTTCATGGTAAATGTTTGAGCAGTCACATTTTCAGCACAATAAAAATTGAATCAACAATCAGTACCCACATTTATTTATCCAACGAAATGAAGAGGGGGGAAATAAAAGAAAATTAATAATTTCTCTACAACAATTAATTATAATTATTTTGTTTAAAAACGACAACAAAAACAACGTTAACAATAAGAATTCTAATTAACTTCCAAGAGTCGCTAAGGTGGTATGGTAATTTAAAAGTTCTTTCGTTGAAAAATTACCTTTGTGGTTTATTACAATATCGTTTGTAGACTACCTAATATAATTTTTAAACTTATTTTTATTTACGTCAGTAGTATTAAAAACATCATATCTAAAAAAACAAACTCCCAAGGTAAAAGAAACCGGTCACAATATTCTAATAACTTTAAAGTAAACGTTATTCAGCAAATAAAAACCAAAACATTACATTGGGAATGTATTATGATGATATGTAAAATTGGTGTTTTGCCCGGGGCTTCACCCAGTTAAAGATAAGCATTTTGAACGATAGTCCAAATCCAAAAATGCTTTGAAGGCATTTTTATGTTTTAACCCCACGTTGAATTATTATCAACAGGCAGGATAATTCAAAAATTTGTAAAAAAAACAATGAATTGCTTTTCACTCCTTTAGAATGTGAACTAGAGGAAAACCTTTTTTTAACAGCTTGTAAGTCCAACTTGTTTGTGTTGCACGTTAATGAATCCGTCACTCATGTCTTAATAAATTACAATGTATAATATACAAGAATTATCAAACGTTCACACATTCTTTATTAAATCAGTTTTACACAAGTTTAAAAGTTTTTGTTACACATTTATAAAGTAATTTAATTTCGGCATGACCACTAAAACACCAACCAATAATTATATTTACACAAACAATCTGCGTCATTACAGCAAAATACGTCAGTCGTAAAGTAAAATTTTAATAACTTCTAATTTATAACCTCTTTAACTAAAAAGATGAATTTGACGTTAAAAAAAGTTTAAAGCTATGGTAATTGGTGTTTAACCATACTTCCAACGGATGACTTAATTCCGTTTCCGGACCTTTCTTTACATTAACCGCCAATAAATCTAGAACGGCTGCAAACTTTCTATGCTCCAGGTCTACTGTCATGAGTGTAATTATTGACAGTTATAGTTATATTATTCTTCTTATTATTAATTGACTCCTAACACAATTTACAAAAAATCGGTCAAAAGTTGTTTCGACAGAACTTCCCTCGCTCCTGAAGTACATTTTACAAATCCAGCATTTTCGAGTTGAATTTTTTCTTTACACAATTTTGTGATGACACCATCAACATTTTTGCAAGGACACATATATCAACTTGGGTTGGTGCAGTGTATTACTAAAAATAGCAGTGTTCTATTCCCAAAATTTTCCGGTAAAACGGAGTTAATAAAATAAAATGACTCATTCATTAATTTTTTTGAAACACCTCGTATAAGCAAATCTAAACAAGGACGTGTATATCAGTTTGGATAGATGCATTGTAATACTAATAATAAAAGGATTGTATTATTGTT